CGCTGCTGCTGCTGCTGTTGCTGCTGCCCTGCCTACAGACTCCTACAGTAAGTACCACCCGGTGCCACAGCATCCTTCCCTATACAGAGTATTGAATCTCCATCCTAGTGTAAAGAAAATACCCTGACTCAATCCGCAACCATAGGCTAAAGTATTATGAAAATGTTTAAGGATAATAACTTCTTGGTTTTTGTATGAGCCACGATCCCTTGCAGACACCGTTCTTAAACTGTTCTCCAGCTGACTCCATCATAAAACAGTTCAGAACTGTGTTAGAATCTACATCGAAACGACGGACCAGTTCCACAAACTTGTAAGAATCTTCTTCGAAGCGTAAAGCCGATGCAATAAACAAGGAGTTGGTATCCATAAACTTCACGTTGTCTTGTTTACTCGCGATACCCGTGAAGATCCTTCAGTAACCTATGCTTGTCGTAAGAGGCGACTAATGGGATCGGGTGGTCTGGTTCGCTGACTTGGTTGACACATGTCATTGTATCTCAATTGAGTAGGTAGATGCTCATGCTGTAGGTCACCGGATTGTCTGGCCCAGACTCGATTATTTACGCTGGAATATTGCTGAGTGCGGCGTAAAACTAGACTCACTCACTAGATTTTGAACAAACACAGTGGCCATGTTTGGGGTTGTTTTTTTTCAAATGACACGAGATTTAAACTGAAGTCAAATCGGACTGCACGAGGAAACAAGCCGTGATGTCTGCAGTACTCGACTGAACTTTTACCTGCCTCTCAAACACAAACTGGAGATCTTGTATCCCAGTGACTTCAGGCAAATCTAAAGCGTTTTGGTTGTTGATATACCACAGTTATAGATGTGCGTGCGTTTGGTCATATAGGCTTTTACATAGAAAGCCGCTACTGGTCATGTAGAGAAACACAAGTCAGTTATTTCGGTACATTTATCAGCTATTTCTGCATCAATTCATGAAGGTAATAGAATAGATACGTAGTTGTGTTTACAATCGACGTTCAGCATTCAGAACAGAGGATCTTTATTTATTTTATTACTCTTTCCTGCGACCATCTACCTGTATATACAACACCGCTTCATCATAAGCAGATACGTTACTCAAATACGATACATCACTGCATGAAGGCCTCCAAAGGAGGCCGTCTCAAGTGAACTTTCTCATCCGCCAAAACCTTTCCAGTTAGATGAGAAACATTCAGACGAGCATATCTGATTTCTATATCTTGAAATCGAATCTAATCGAGGAGATCCGATTGAGAAAAGGTAAAGCCGTTCTATCATAGCGACACTACATAGGTTCGAGAAACCATGGCAAGGGGCTTTTCACTTAGGGATTCTTAATACTTTGTAGGGATTGAACCTTCGTAAGCTTAGACTGCTCTTATATATATTACATGTAGGTAAATGTTAGTTACGTCTCTTCGTGAACAAGGTTCTTCCACCTACTTTTTCAGAACATCCAATAAGACGTCAGGTATGTTCCCAGTATGCTGTCAATGAGTGTGTGCAGAGACTGGTTTACAACAGAGGCTCCATGAATGGCGGCTACAACCCCAACAACGGCATCAGCGGTGGCTACAACCCCAACAACGGTGGCTACAACCCCAACAACGGCATCAATGGCGGCTACAACCCCAACAACGGCATCAACGGCGGCTACAACCCCAACAACGGCATCAACGGCGGCTACAACCCCAACAACGGCATCAACGGCGGCTACAACCCCAACAACGGCATCAACGGCGGCTACAACCCCAACAACGGCATCAACGGCGGCTACAACCCCAACAACGGCATCAATGGCGGCTACAACCCAACAACGGCATCAATGGCGGCTACAACCCCAACAACGGCATCAACGGAGGGTACAACCCCAACAGTGGCATGAATGGAGATTTGACTAATTTCCAAACAATTTGTGAGATGACCCTCTGCGGCTCTGTGGGCAATTTTATTGCCAACATGGCAATGAGCGGAGCGGAAGCGGAAGAGAAAACGCCTGTTGCCCCAGCTCTGCTAAATAAAGCGAAACAGACTCCATAAAAGTTAACTCAACCATAAGAAAAAGAAACACGAACTCTTAAAAGTCATTGGACCATATACTATTCAAAGATTCCAGAAAGCAGTTTCGTATATTTGTTTGAGACAGTATGAACAATGGTAAAACGGGTTTGGTTAGGACTTTCATTACTTCTGAAATACATTTTTGCACAATAAAAGAGATCAATGACATTATAGAATTTATTCATAACACATCGGAAAATTGTTTAAAACACCTTGCCAGTAACCAAACTGAAACCTTTATTCACATGCAGCCCGTGACGATTCTGATTTGAACTGACCTTCGGTAAACAATCAAAATGCAAAAGACTACACAAGCACCTTTGTAATGACAGCCAGTGGTAAAATCACCCCGTGGTGAAATGGTGCCTGATTGTTTCTGGCATGTCGTTGTTGGCGACTGAGTTCAATAGGGTATGCAGGCTCATTGACTGATTACAGGTGCCACCCTAGCCCGTAACTGTCTATCATACACTCGGTCATTCGGTTAGAAAGTAGATCTATCAAGAGCAAATCACTTGCGATTATCTGCCATGTGTTTTCAGTGTAGCAACTGCAAAGTACAAGCAAACATAACATTGTTCATATTGTTGAAGAGTCAAACTTGAAGCCAAGGTAAGCTTTGGTAATCAAATGGCAGATTATATTACAAGAGAAACTAGAATCACCACGTTTGTCAGTTCCGGGTTGCTGCGGGTAGTTTTAGAATTGAGGTCCCAAAGACGGCATCACGAATCCAAGAACTGACAAACTTTGTTGCAAGGGATTATTTTCCTCACAGATTCTCTGAACACTGTGAGGTTTAGCTGAGGCAGTCTGGATGCCTGAGTGTGGGTCTGTGAGGAAGCTTGATAGATCTTACTTCACTAATCCTTTATGGCACGTTTAATCAGTTAAACATGGCATCCTTTGGATAGAAATTTTCAGTAAGGAGGACCAACCCAGGCCTGACATTTATTCGATTCACATAGAATGAGGACAAGTGTTTAACTTTAAGTGAGTGAGTGAGTTTAGTTTTACACCGCACTCGGCAATGTTCCAGCTATGTGGTGGCGGTCTGTAAATAATCGAGTCTGGACCAGACAATCCAGTGATCAACAACATGAGCATCGATCTGCGCAATTGGGAACCGAGGACATGTGTCAACCAAGTCAGCGAGCCTGACAACCTGATCCCGGTTTAACTTTAAGCGACCAATGTAATACTTTGATCTGGTCTGACCACCTGAGACTGACTTTTATTCAGCTCGCTCTGAAGACCACCCTGACAAAGACTTGATTCCAGCTACTTCTGCTATGTTCAAAAAGGTTCTGTAACACAAAGTGACGGATCTGTGTCATCAGATCATATACTCCTCACAAAACGTTAAGCAACACAAATTTGTAGTCTCATTACATTTTCATTTATTGAAATTGCAAATCACTGAATGATGCAGTAGAAAGGTGAAACATATGTACACACGATTAACAAAATGAAATGAAATTGTATTGAGCAATAATAGACTTACAAATCATCAAAGGCAACAAGGTTCAAGTCAGCTTTGGACAGTGAAGCAGTGTTCAGTAACGCGTATGACCACCATGAGCACAAATGCAAGCTTCTACAGGTCTTTGCATTGACCAAATGAGCCTTTAAAGTTGCTTTTGTGGAATGTTCTGCCATTCTCTCTGTAACGCATGCTCAAGTTTGGGGGGTGAACATGGAGACCGTAAACACGACTTCCAATAATGTCCCAAGCATGTTCAATGGGATTAAGATCAAGTGACCTTGCAGGCCAGTCCATATGTGTGATGTTGTTGATCTAAACAACATCGTTAAAAACTCTTTCTCGGGCATTATCATCCATGGACGGGCACTATCATCCATAAAACTGAAGTTAGTACCCGCTTGTTGTGCCAGAGGAATGATTACAGGTAGGTTTACACCGATCAGGGTGGATGTGTGAGGAGTGGAGCACATTCATGCCACACATTTTGTATGTTGTTTCTGAGGGTGGTTGTGTTCGGGTGATTTTGTCAATGTTATGAGATAAAACAATTTGACATCCCCTTAAGGTTATGTATTCTTTGAATATTTACCTTTCAGTAACATGTCGGCAAAAATCGCTATCGAGATTGATAAAGATATTACACTGAAATACTTGTTGCTTAATTTTTTGTGAGGAGTATATATACATAGATACAGATGGACAGCATCTGATGGGCAGGATGGAATAAAATATGAATGCCTCACTACCAAATCTAGGTCAGGAATATTTTTACACATCTTCAGCCACGGTTATTAGTTGTGCAATTCAAGTTACCTTGAATTATCAAGGATAAAGGATCTGGTTACAGTCCTTGAATATGTCCTAACACGTGACTTGCTGCTATGTTGAACACTTTCACTGACATTGGATAAGTAACAAATTCTTGGAACACATGAGGTAGATTGCAAACCCTTCTTCCCAGAACATCTTAGAGGTTTTCAGTTGTGGACATGTGTGGAGATTTGGCTGGCCAAGACAGTGCTGTGACACCTTGCTGCCTCTGACATTTAACTGGTACAAAAGCTCTGTGGGGACATGTGAGGTCATCCTGGAACTCAAAATTCTGACCTACACATTGAATACTGGACTTAAAATTTGTCCGCATAATGTTGGTGCATCTGTTGGGAGAAAGGCTGTTCCAAATGTTGTCTGAGGCACCTGTGTGCCACAGTCAGATGCATCCATCTGAAAGGACATCTTGATTTCAGACACAAAGTTTTCATTCAGTTTGACAGTTGACAGCAAAGTGAGTACAAATTGATCCTTACTGAGAGATCCTTTGTGGGGCTTTCTCCACCAGTCCTCATCATAACCCCCTGTTTTCTGCTACTGTTCCTTCAGTCAGGATATCAAACTTATCATTTACCAATTGTGCAGAATGTTCCAGAATCACCATCACATAATAAGAAACACATTTCATTTTATTACAGAATATTTTATTCCAATAGAAAATATTTATGCTGGCTATGAGGCAACCCAGGACAATGCTGTTTTTTTTATATTTACAGTTTTCAGATTATTTCTTAGAATATTTTCTTATTTGCCAAACACCTCTCTCTTTGATGTTGTTAAACATAAAAGACACAGCTACAAAAATCTCACACAAAAACTGCTAACAAAGATAATTTTGATAACTTTAGATAACTAAATTAATGATAATTCATAAAATGAACTGAAGTTCAATTTAGCCAACAAAAACAATTCAGCACTTAAACTGAATTATTATTATTCTGTCCAAAAATAATCGAACAAATTCAACAATATCAAGCTACAAACACAAACAAAGGGCTATTTATATTTATCTAGTCAAACCTTTTTATAAACAAAAACTAAAGTGTGAACCAGTAATGCCTCCTGATATATATATGTAAAACATTGTTCATATACACACATTGCAAAATACTCTATAATTCCCTGACATGGCATGCTGCTAGTTTGATCACATACACACAAATCACCATAACAACTATCATTCTCATCTCTCTGTTACCATGGTTACAGAATTCACCAAATATAGGGCACCAGTTTAGCAGTGTTCTTCAGGTACTGCTGATACTGGGGATTGCTACCCCATTTCTTGGAGGCATATTGTTCTAGAAGGGGAATTCCGCTGACTTCGTGTGAGAAGGAACGACAAGAAGATGGGGGAAATGATGCTAATATGCTCCAGTCCACTCAAGGCTTTCGATGATGTAATATACAAGCCCGTCCACATCAGAATTTCACCAAAGTAGTTAGGATGTCGGCATAGACTCCACAGGCCATGTTGAATAAACTTTCCCTGCAAGAAATAACACCGGTACTATTTGTCAAGTAACTAAGTATCATTCTGTACATCCATAGATATATTAAATGCGGAAATGTTTACTATAGTTTTGCAAGGCAAATCAATTGTAAAGTTGCCTCCCTTTACCATGCCAGGATCCTTCCCGATGCCTTGAACAAACTTTTTTTTTTGTTTCACATGATCTTTATCATTGATGAAAAGCATCAATTCCAGGACTTTTGACTTTTAGTTTCATTTAAAATCTTGCTTCACTGTGGTAAGCAACACCTGTGGGGAGATTCAACTCAAACCATTTAAATGCTTTTATGTTTACAAATGGTGAGTGTAACCAGGAAACACAAATGGGACATTTCAATATGAATACTGAGATTCCATCCACTGACATTAGATCCACCTTGAAACAACCATGTTAACTGCTACTCCAAAAGTAAATTTGATCAAGTAATTAGTCATCACATATTGCAACTTTCTAAAAATGAGCATGTAATACAAAACATCCCTATTTCTACAATGGCTTAAGGAGTACTAGTGTTTAGATAATAAGAAAGAGGACCCAAGAGATTTCCAAAGATTTGAATACTTATACTGAACTTAAACAAATTCAAAAAATTTATTTCACAATCACATTCAGTACATTCCTTACACATTGTGATGATATATATCTGGGGTTTTATCATTAGACTGATGTGCTGCATATGGAGCAGGAGCCAAGATTTGATTCTAGGTACATGTATTTCCTTCTAACCATTATGTATTAAAACAACATTAAGCTACCCTGGTCTGAGTTCAAAAATTTGTTGTATTCAATTTGTGACTGATGAATCACTTCAGTTCATATCAAGATTAATCTTCCTCTATCAATTAATTTTATGATGATTATCATCTTCAGTTATTGATAAATTCTTATCATTGTTCTTATGGTGGGGGTGGGGTAGCCTGGTGGTTAAGCATTCGCTCGTCACACCGAAGACCAGGGTTCGATTCCCCACATGGGTACAATGTGTGAAGCCTATTTCTGGTGTCCCCCGCTGTGGTATTGATGGAATATTGCCAATAGTGGTGTAAAATCATACTTACTCACTATCATTGTTATAATTAATCTTCAGCTATCAATAAATTCACATGATCACTGCTACCTTTGCCTTTACTTATACACACATACTGTGGAACAAATCCAGTACAGCTGATATAGATGGATACTTACAGCATTGTCTGGATTGGCTCTGAATACCGATTTCTGGTAGTCTCCTACAGCCTCAAAGAAGAAGCCCAGAGCCCAGAGCGCCCAGCCAATGTAGTCCCTGGTGGAGAGGGGCTTGTCCTCCTTCTTACTGTTGAGCATCAGCACCGGAAGGAGGGTGGACATCACCCAAACTCCTACAAACAGTGTCCTTCATCAATAACACAGCTTATTGGGGATGATCATCGTTCCTGTTTCAAACATTCTAGATTACCCAATGTAACATCTCCATTCCATAAACCCTGAACCCATTGGCTAGCGTTGCTATATCATGACACTAATTCAACTGGCACAAGGGGTGGTAGCCTAGTGGCTAAAGTGTTGGCTCGTCACCCTGAAGACCAAGGTTCGATTCTCTACAATGGTACAATGTGTGAAGCCCATTTCTGGTGTCCCCAGCCGTGATATAGCAAGAATGTTGCTAAAAGTGGCGTAAAACCATACTCGCTCACTCACTCATTCAACTGGCACAACCTTAAAACTGACATATAGTAACCTGATCCTGTTTTTTTTTCTTATAATTGAAACAAGCAGGTATACTATCTAATACTAAACTCACCTTGGTGTTCACCTCCTGAAATAACACTTGAAAGGTTCTGTCGTTTCCCAATTCATCCTTAAGAAAAATCTTTCACAGCTAATCTTTTACAGAATTAGCTACAATAGTAATTTTAGCTGTTTCAATAAATCAAGGACTTGCTTTCAATAAACCAGGATTTTCATTGTAGATTGATGCTCAACACAAGTCTCCAGAGACATATTTATTGGCTGGTGATATCCACCTAATTTATTTTGTATTTAACTATGGACATAATGAACTAAAATTAGTGGTCATTTTGGTTACAATCATAGTTTACTGTATAACTATTAGATACAGTCACCGCTCACCATAACGCAGATCTCCGGGGCCATGGATGACCCATCGCGTTATGAGACACCCGCGTTATAGTAACTTATACATAACACGGAACAAAGGCCAAGTAAAATCCTATTTTCTATGTGCACTGCTATTTTGTGTATTCTGAACCAAACCAAACCAAACTACAGAACCAAAGTTCAGATTTAGTTGAGATTTACCCTGAATAGTCCAGTATGCTAGGAAAACTCCAGGCTTGTCACGCACATTGTTAAACCTTCTGTCCTTCCCATCCTTCAGAACTCTCGTGAACAGGTACAGACCAAGCCTGAAAATATACAATATTTACATTATATCTGGTACACACAACTGCATTGCTCCGTACTCATCAGCTCACATGTGCCAATATGAATGAGTGAGTGAGTGGGTGGGCATCATTGTATTTAACACCATTTCATTTTTCATATTTAGGCCAAATAAAAAAATTGTTGTGGTTCCGTTTACACCTCTTTAAAATTTAGTGTAGGTAGGTTCGATTTTTTTTGGTTTTCACATTCTTTTAGAAGCAAAGTACAAACTAATAACACATTTATCAATGTGTAATTGTTTATGTAATCAAGCTTGCGGCCATCATGTTGACTTTCTCTATTAGCATGACCGATGTCAGTCGGTGCCAGGAAAAAACAATGGTATCTGAAAGCTTTTATTCATACCTCTTATAAAAAATAGGGTCAGCACTAGAATTCAAGGGTCGGTTGGGTAATTGGAACCACAACATTTTTTTTGAGGCCTTACATCACAGCATGTTAGATTAATGTTGAAGGAAAGCTGCATCCACATTGATGAAACCAATGGTGCTGACAAACTAACAGCCATAACCAAAGGAACACATCATCGCATACATGACTAAGGGAGGTAACTCTTCAATATGATTTAGCCCTCTTTGAATGTGGAGCAAACTTTGAAATTAGAATACCAGTACATAATGCAGCAGACTTGAGGCAGACTATTGGTCTCTAAGAATGTTGAGATACAACCATGAGTATACATACATTGAAGTCTAATAAAACGTCTAATGTTCATCCCAAACAGCCTTATAACTTAAGGTCAATTAGGGGATAACTGTACTGGGGATGTATACCATATGTTATATAGCCACAAATTCAGTAACACCGCCGACGCATAAGCGGAGCTGATATAACGTTAAATCTGGGGGGTTATGGGTGAAAGTGAAGCATTTTTACTGTAACGGCTCTGTTCCCCTCTGCTTAACCACCTGTCTAGACTAACGCTTAGTCTCTGATTTTATATTTTTTATAGAAACAAACAAATCCACTTAAATTGAAAAGGAGCGCCAGTGAGATCAGAGATCCTGAGACAACTGGCAAAAAAGGATAAGTTGAGCACCGACCTGACAATTGACCCGTATTAGCATGTATGAGTGCCCCCACTGGCGCTTGCCATTGTTAGCGAAGGGGCCCAGGTTGTCCGCGATCATGTATAGTGCGACTTGCTACACCGACGTGAGAGTCTTATGAGCAAGGCATGTGCAGCTACTCATGCAATGGGTGCAATCAATACCATTGTCATGCAATGCTTCTTCCAGGCACGTCTCTCACAGCTAGCCTACATCTGCTCTACACTGGGGCCATTCAAAAACCAAATAGTTTTGCTCAAACCCTGTCTATCTCCATGGAATCTGACCAGAGTGCTGCTGTCATCACCTCATGTGTCAGTCAAGCTCCCCTACTGCTTTACTTCTCATAGTCTAAATATATATATAATTTTGATAGTAACACGTCTATGAATATATATATAATTTTGATAGTAACACAACCACCAGTCATCAACCAGTCACAAATACATGTCTACAATTTACACATTATCAATATTGTACTGAAGTCTTTTCACCTTCACCCGTCCGGGTTAGAATGAACCTTCAGTAACCCATGCTTGTCGCAAGAGGCGACTAACGGGATCGGGTGGTCAGGCTCACTGGCTTGGTTGACACATGTCATGGGTTCCCAATTGCGCAGATCGATGCTCATGCTGTTTTCCTCCCATGTTAATCTGACATGCAACAATATAACTGAAGTACTTTTTAAAGCATCATTAAACCAGCTCACTGATCTGCCAACTTCACAAGCTATGTCATAGTGAAAATTAAAGAAAACAATATACCCTCTTAGTCGCAAACCTTACCTTTAAACACAGATCAAACTTTCCAATTTGAAATATCATTTCAAAACAGAGTCCTGAGTTAACTGCAACAGTGGTAGTCTGTCTCACAGTCAAAGAACCATATTATTTTCCCTACTGCCTGGAACTCACTGCAATGCTAAAGCCCTAAATGAAGCAAGTCTAGATTCCTTCATGTTTGGAATTACCCATCTGACTGGGGCTCCTTTACAATTTAAATGGGTTTATGATTTACTGTGAAAATTATAAGCATTAGTTTACAATGGTGGCTGTTACCACTTTTAGACAAAAAAACAGTAACCATGGTAACTGTCACATAGTCTGGCACCAATAGATCAGCTTCACCTACCTACAGGCCCATGCCATAACCATACCAGTTGCCACCCTTTGTCGGGGATGGAACGTGTTTCCCCATTTCAGACTCTGCCATGCCAACAGGAGAAATGTTCCAGAACCTACAACATACAGAAAAATATACAGGATATATAAATTATTTCATTTTGGACAAAGAAACATTATTTCATGAAGTACATAAACATGATTTTTAAAGAATAATTTCAAGCTTAAGGTGCCTGGATCGAGCCCACCAGGCTAAGACCCCAGGCTAGTGATCCAGCGAGCCTGAGGTGCTGGGATCGAGCCCACCTGTGACCGAGTGTAAAAAACCTTGGAGTCAACTTTGTGTGCGACTCTTTCAGTGTTGTCACAACCCCTAGTGTACAGTACACAACCCTGTGCACTTAAAAGAACCCACGAATCTGTTGGTATATGATCAGATGGTGGCCACATGAATACGTGCAAACACCTACCGGTAGTTGTAGGCACAGCAACGTGCAGTAAACCTGGATGAAGTACTGTGACTATATATGTGTCCCAGTCCACCCAGCTGTGAATGGGTACCTCGTAAGGATGGGAAAGCCACATTAACTTGGTGCCCCTAAATGGCTGCAAGAGTTGTATGGTCCCCAGGGAGTTGAGATTGAAAAATATGATGTGTCGTTGAGATTGACATCCAATGATCAAGGGGAAAACAAAGCGCCTTTGAGCAGCTGAGCTGGATATTGGCGCCATACAAATGTATTATTTTGTATTCTTTTAACCATTACATATGAAAGACTTGTGGTTAGTCTTAAGCGGAACACCAATTCATACTTAAAAAACTTGTGGTTAATTTATACCGAGCCAAAAAGTAGTCTGCTTCACTCTCGCCCGCCAAGAAAACCCCAGACAGGTTAAATGTAGGTATGTATGTATCCCAATACGAGCTGAATTCGACGTTCTGGTGATTTCGACAATTGCATTGCTCGCACTATATCGGGGGAGTATGTGAGCGTCAGAGTGCACAAGCTTTTTCATCGGCAGGCCGGATGCCCAGTCACTATGATGAGAAATTTTATTGACAATTAAGTTATATAAAAAGCAAACAAATATATGCCCAAAATTGTTAATACCACTTCAGATGCAAAATCAATTGCCTTTATTACAAAGCATAGCAGCAAACATTCAGTAAGATCAGTCGTGTGCGAATGTATGTAGGGTGTGGGGGGGCGGGGGTTGTATGCACATCATAAATTACACACACATAAAATACATGTTTATCTGTAAGTGTTACTGATAAATTCAACTTCAAGAACCCTGTGCTTGCCTAGTACAATTTTTCAGCATGACGTTTCATCGAAAATCTTAAGTTCAATAGGTCAGCTTACTCATCTGACAGGAATTGTTGGGGTTTTTTTAATATTAAAATGTTGATGTTGTGCCCAACAGTATCAGAATCTCGTAAGTATCAGTATCAGTCAGCGGGCAGGGGTGAGCTACCATGAACTTTATTTTTGTATGTCAAATGTTCTGAGAGTTGTATTATGTGCATACCCTAAGTAAATATACCGATACAAACACACTTGACATACATATTATTTGTACTGCAGTCACCTAAAAAGTTTGCAGGTTTGTGATTACAGATCTGTGAGCATGGCGATCGAGGTTAGCTGCCCTACACCAACCTGCTAGGTCATAGAACTTTTCAGTCCGCAAAGCGGCGGCCACGGCCCAGCATGCCCACTGTCCGCCAAAATCTAGAGCTGCAGCTTTGATCAAACTGTTCCCCATGTCTCCAAGGTACTGTAACATGTCAAGTACAATGTGACATTGACAATTTACATAGATAACACCGAATCAGAACTTGCATAACACGGTCATTGTTTATTTTGATGCAAGGATTATCACGTGACTACAAAGCAAGCTCCGTACAGCGACGTTTCTAGAATCGGCCAAAACCGCTACATCCAAGATCGGAATAGCAAATCAGCCCTTGGTTCAAAACAGGATGACTTCTAAATAGCAAATCAATACCGTTGAACATACCTTTAAATAGTATATCAATTCTAGATCAGCATATTCTTGGATAGAGACGTAGTATGCTTTATTATTTATGAGATGTAGATAAAGGTATGTTTTAAATTTGTGTTCATAAATGTAGCTGAAGATTTGATGCCACGACTTCTTGGAACCAATCGAAAGCAAGCTTGTTTTGTTTGGCGTTTACGATAATGTGCTCAAAAGTATGGTTGTGGTAGTTTAGAAGCAACTGCTTTGTCATAACTCATACTAATATGATAAAATATAGGATGCCCCAATAGTTTTCCAGTTACACATTTAGAATGGTGAGGGTTGAATTGTTATATTTTTAAATTCAAATTCACCCCCAACAAAGTTCTGCTCTGTACAAAAAAATAATATTTTAATAGTTATCCGCGTTAGATTTACAAAGCGAGTAGTAAGGAAATACAGGATTAGAAGATGGGTCATGTGCGAAATATGCATTATGTTGGAAAGCGCACGTTGAATCTCCAAAACAGCATCGTCAGAGGATGGGGAGTGAGGCGATATCTTACCTCGGTATCATTACTTTACCCTCAAACACTTCCCCATTTGTCTGAAAGGAAGACCTACCTTAAATAGTTTACAACAGGTGACCATAATGTAAATACTTTAATATTGAAAATTTGGGTGGTCCTTAACTTTTTTTGTTGAGTATATTATTGAAAGCCATGCGATCGGAAGGGATGCAAAGTTACGGAAGCGGGCGTAAACTATCTTTGAAAGCCGCGTTTGTTATCCTTGTTTCACCCAAAACATCATCTTGTAAACATGTTTGATGTTACGGATCGAAAACAAATGTCGGACTCTTCCTTATAGAAACAATTGTCAGAATACTGATAGCATATTTACCAAATATGCATAATTCTAGAATTGAGGGGAAATATGGGACCTTGTTTTAATGCCAGCTTCTCGCTTTGTGGACTGGGTCCATATTCGAGAAAGCTTCGCACAAGACATGCACCCGTGAAGATCCGGTTTAAAAATTTTCAGCAGCCCATGCTTGTCGTAAGAGGCGACGAACGGGATCAGGTGGTCTGGTTCGCTGACTTAGTTGACACATGTCATCGTATCCCAATTGTGGAGATTGAAGCTCATGCTGTTGGTCACTGGATTGTCTGGTCCAGACTCGGTTATTCACAGACCGCCGCCATCCCAGATAGCATTCGGACGTTGGCCCAACGTTGGCAATGTTGGCAAAATCATTCGATCATAATAACCATATTGCTGAGTGCGACGTCAAACAACTAGCACACACACGCAAGCACGCAAGCACACACACTCTCTCTCTCTCTCTCTCTCTCTCTCTCTCTCTCTCTCTCACTCACTCACTCACACACACACACACACACACACACACACACACACACACACACACACACACACACACACACACACACACACACACACACATCACTCGCCCCTTTCCGTAACCTCCAAGGACGGAGGAGCTTGTCCCGGAATAACACGAGTTGGTCAAGAGTGATTGTATCCATGTCGGTAATCGAACCCGTGTCTTCTTCGTGACGAACGAACACTTGAACCACTGGGCTACCCTATTGCCCCGTTTAGAGCAAGGGCCTGTCAGATTAGTATAGGTTGATATATGGTAATGGTCCTTTTGGGAAACAGGGTCTGTACAGTTTAAGAAAGTAATAAACCATATAAAATTGTTTTGACTCATGTTCACATGGACAAGGATTAGACATTTCATTCAATACATGTAATGAAGTTTGGTGGGAAAAAATCTTATATAAGATGCATTCATATTTGAATGTGAGCAATCTAACCCAAGCTGGGAGATGCAGATGAAAACTGAACAGACATATGGTAAAAAAACTGGAGTCGAAGACTTGCTCAAACTTGTGAAGTTGAAAAACGATTGCCTTTTCTCTCAGCCTCACCCACTTACTCGCTGAATTGGCTGACACATGTCATCGTACCCCAGCTGCGTAGATCGATGCTCATGCTGCTGATCACTGGATTGTCTGGTCCAGACTCGATTATTTACAGACCACAGCCATATAGCTGGAATATTGCTGAGTGCGGCATTAAACAACAAACAAACAATAACACTATATACTGTTTTAGCGTTACGATAGCGTTGTTGTTACAAAACCAACTGTTTCTAAACAGCAAACCAACCAACTACACACAATGTACAGTCAGTCCTTTTCTAGTGTCCCCAGTTGGGATTTTGCTAGAATATAGCTGAAAGTGGCCTATACTTATTCACTCAGTGTGTGAAAGGGTCTATGTTTAAGGAAGAAAGAGAGTGTCATTTAACCATTAGATAATAATATTTTCATATCGTTATTACAAGCTTTTCTGTAGTTATAAAATTGATATGTCCAATGATAACAAGAGACCCGTGTCCCAGAACGGTAGAACATAAATCGTTTTCACCTATGTAAAATAAATATGAGGTGCCATAGCAGTTTTCGTCAGGTGAAATCGGTGACGTGTTTTTTTAGGTGCCGTTTTGGCCTACACCCTTTTCAACTCTTCAACCCATGCTCTTCACACTGCGTGGTATCACGTGATATTATGAAAAACAATTGTTCAAAATGGCGTTACGCTATCATGGGTTTGTACGGCGAGTGGCTAGATCGTTTCTAGACCGACACAAGTATGCTCCAGAACATGCACGGTTCATGTCGTGTGAAGCAGTCTCTACAGGTCATAGTTTCTGTTCATTTTATACGTGTGTGGTCCTCAAAATGGACAAGTTGTTGGGTTACAAGAAAACACAGGTACCAGGTTTTGCCCAAATGGACAAGTAGAAATAGGAAAATTGGCTTAATTTAGTTAATCATGGGGCTTGACATTACATGTTTGACACATATTATGTCTCCATATTTTGGACTTTATTACACCATTGCAAATTAACAATACTCATAACTATTTAAATTTCTCATCCTCTCGTTTGGCTTAGATCAGTCAGGTACCAATCGAAGACATGTAGACATGTCTTTGGATCAATAATTTAAAACTTGATATGCTTGTTCCCACAAATAATGACACCTGAATTCTTCAATGAGTTAGGAATCGAATTTTCAATTTGACCACGACAGCAGACATGTTCAAATTCATATTTATGGCAATTAATCTGCTATTTCTAACCAAATGTAATGAAGTTTCGTGAGAAAAGGAACATTTATGATCATTTATTATGATTATAGGGTCGAGTGGGGGTCAGATTTGCGACTGCATTGAATCATGTTTCGCTGACAGAGTAAGCCCATCAGTGCAAGACAAATGAGATGTCAAAGCCTACCTCACCTCACCTCACCTCACCTCACCTCACCTCACCTCACCTCACCTCACCTCACCTCACCTCACCTCACCTCACCTCACCTCACCTCACCTCACCTCACCTCACCTCACCTCACCTCACCCTCACCTCACCTCACCTCACCTCACCTCACCTCACCTCACACCTCACCTCACCTCACCTCACCTCACACACCACACCACACACACACACACCACACCACACAACAAACACACACCACACCACACCACACACCACACCACCACACCACACCACACCACACCACACCACACCACACCACACCACACCACACCACACCACACCACACCACACCACACCACACCACACCACACCACACCACACCACACCACACCACACCACACCACCAGACTCAACAACATCAACAGATATTCACTGATATTCACTACTAAGCTATGGTGAAACCGCTAGTACTTTCTACCTCTGCTCGTGATTGAAGGGTGATGGTTCTCAAGTTGATTTTGTGCACCAGTCTTGATATAATTATTCCCAGTAAGAAACAACGTTCTTATCTGGGCCATGCACAGTCCCATTACACTAATGGTGTTGTGTACTGAAGGACCATTAGGGTCTAACTGCACCAGAAGGGTTCATGTCTGTCATTTTTTACATTTAAATTATTCGTATCCATAGGAGCTACAAGGTAATAAGGCAATATTTCTCTGGGTCATAAAATGAATGCACATAGAAAGTAGATGCATGGCCAAAATAAATAATTTATTAAATTAAATTTTCATCTTCACTGCACTATTTATCCTTTATCACTTGCCCAATGTTTGAAACAAACACCTGCCCATATGCCCAGGGAATGTCAGTCTCCAAATTTGTGTGAGTCATTATGGCCTGAAGTAAATTTAGATATCAATGTATTCATCACAGTGAGCTGCAGATTTTTTTAATATGAGGTCTTGCAGCTTTTAAATGAGCAAGTGAGTGAGTTTAGTTTTATGCAGCTTTTAGCAATATCACGGCAGAGGACACTAGAAATGGGTTTTACACATTGTGCCCGTATGGTGAATCAAACCTGAATGCTTTAACCACTAGGCTACCCCACTGCCCTGCAGCCTTTAAAGCCTGTGGGTCCTAATGGCAGCCTGACAATTCATTTTATTCCAAACAGTGCACTTGCCCACATAATTCTAGTGTACCCCAATTACATACACAAAGAAATGCCAACATGATGCTTTTCTCTGTACTTGGTGAAATTACCCTGTGTATAGTCCTGCCTAGCATCCATGCTTTGTGCAAATCACTTATTGCAACTCTTTATGTCTGGATGGGTATTTTTACAACACAGCAAACATATTTTATTTAAGAGACTGTTAGCTTATTGTCCCCAGTTGTAATGCACTGTTTTTTCATAAATGTCACCCTCAGCAGTATAATGTCAGCCTGTAAATAATTGAGTCGTGACCAGACAATCAAGTTATTGATCACGAGCTTCGATCAATACAACTGGGACACGATTACATGCGTCCACAATGCCAGCGAGCCGTTGCAAGGCATGGTTTGCTAAGGACCAATTTAAACACAGATCATCTCAGGGGTCCATTACTTTTTAATGTATACAATTGTTTCAAGAAAACACTGTGGAGATAGGGAATATGTCACAATTTAGCTGATCAGCGGATTTTCGCCAATTTTATTTCAAATTGATGAATTCTGTGAATCGTCCAAATCTCTGAATTCGATGACATAATACTAAGTTTTTAGCTGAAAATAGATTTTCCTGTTGCCATCACGGGGATACTGATCCAGTGAACAGCATGTATGGATTATGTTTGAAAATCTTCTGAAGAAGAGAAGGCCTTCTTTGACCTTTTGAATCGGTGCACAACCCCTTCAGTTGTAGTTTGTGCTAAAATGTTTTTTGTTAGTTTATTGCCACACTAAAGTCCGTCAACTGAACTTTTGGCACCCTGTTTTTAACCAAAAATGCCTTCAAAATGTTTTTAGGCATACGCTCTTTATATGACCTATCTCAGGTTTACATTTCATAATTTTATGTCAATTATTAAAGCTTCTTCTTAAGAAGCCATCTTATAAAAATATGAAAAATAGAAGTAGTTATACAAGGGAGTAAAATGATACGATGGAACAGCAAAACACATGGTGTGACACGCGTGCATCTTGTTTACATTGTTACGCCTGCAAGCAAATCTAAAGGGATTGTATAATCATCACAAATCCATTTTAAACAAGCAGATTTATTGGTGTCTTTCAATACTGGTTGCTCAATCTCTTGTATCTATATCCAAATTTGAGCAACAGCTTGCATATGGAAAGCTTTGATACATTGATGTCAGGTCTTCTTTTGAACAATATTGTCTTCAGTTTGCTTGACGATATGGACTCACTGGATTGATGTAACCGACGCATGCGTCCCTCACAACCCTTCTATCGAATTCATCAAATTTCTTTTCTTTGTATGTTTTGAGATGGTCCCCGATTTCATGTCATCGTCAATCTCTGAAAGAGTGTCTTGGGAGATAACTCTGTGCTATGTTTTTTTGCAGATCTTGGTGGCATTAATGTCTTTAGGAGAAACACTCAATGAAAAAACATCATTTTATTTATTTATATAAATCTTTAGGTTACACGAAACCAAATATTTTCACATTGACTTCTGTAATAACATTATATATTTTTTTAGAGTAACTAAGCCCTCAACAGATATCACGTGTGCATTTGCAAACAAAGTGATCTTAAAGCAGCAATAAAAACAAAAATACAGGAAGCCAAGCAGACAAATCCCAGTTCCGCACAAAATGTCCCCCACTTGAAAATATCTGTGGTCAAGTTCAAGTCATTGCTGAAAAGCACCACAGTAAATATTGAAATACATGGTCAGTTTAAAATACTCAACAGATGTACATATAAGAAACACAAAAATCTTACTCAAAATCATCCAATCACAGCTCTCCGATGATTTAGTCTGCACTGAAGGCTCCCTACGAAAGGTGTAAAATGTTAACTACTGATTATGGTTTGTTGTAGTATAACCATGTCCTGCAAGGATGATTCTGTCTTCTTTAGACTGTCATGGGTAGGAGTCTTCAAGACATTTCAGGTTTTATTTTGGTTCTGGATCTGTTTGTTAACTATAAGTTTAATATTTACAGACCTGGTGAAAACTGAGAAACGAGGTGAGGTGTTCATGATCGGCCTCAATTCTCCGGGCAAACGGAACGCTGTGAGCCCAGCTGTAGCTAAAGAACTTCTGAAAGCGTTCCAGCAGTTTGAGGCGGAGGAAGGTGCCAAGGTGGCCGTGTTGTATGGAGAAGGTGAGTCTTCTAATCAGATTTGTTTGTTAGTGGTTTAATACCGCACTCAGCAATATTCCAGCTATATGGCAGAAGTCTATAATTGAGTCTGGACCAGAAAATCCAGTGATCATGAACATCAACTACGCTATGTCACGTGTCAACCAAGTCAGCAAGCCTGACCACCGATCCTGTTAGTCGCGCCTTACAGCAAGCATGGGTTGCTGAAGATCAATTCTAACCCGGATCTTCATGGGGATCCTATAGTCAAGAGTATAAGAGGCTTAATATTTCTTTGTATTTAAGTCAGTAATAACATAAAGTAACAGTTTCATCAATGATAGAAATCTGAAAAGCATGTTTCATAGATGTTTACCTCTTTGATGTATTAGTTGGACCAAGGAGTATAAAGTCTACACATAATCAGCAGATCCTGACAGAACTAAGGGATGCAACTCAGCAGAGTACATTGTGATACCTTAAACATAGTCATTCAGACATGCTTAACTTTTCAACCCTATAATCAAATACTGATAAACAATAACTTGTGCAAAATGTTTTGTATTTGAATCTTACAAGTTATGCAATGCAAATTACAGTCAGCGCTGTGAAAATGTTCCATCTTTGAATATGATTTTAATAAAACTGAAAGCAAAACTTGTTACAGTCTCTTAGATGGTTTTATCGAACCAATTACATCTGATAAAAATATGCTTCATTATTCAATTAGTAATCATAATAATAAAAGTATTTTGGATGAACATTTTGTCAAATATGTAGGATTCCATTTAAATGTTGAACTTGTTCTTTTTTGTCCATTTTGAGGTGGTGTGTTTTGTGCCGGGTATGACCTGAGTTCACTTTCAAAGATGGACGCATCATCAAGCAGCCTGCTGGTGAAAGAGCCAGTGCAGGACATAGGAGCACCAATGGTAAGTCTTGCAGTGATGATACAAAAGTGTTTAGTTCAGTTATTGAGTACAGACTTCAAAATAGGTGGTCGATCGATGAGACACTTGATGCATGGCTAATGTCTGTACCCAAGCATCAAAGAATTAACCACTGTATCAATCAATACATCAATACAGCTCAACATTAACAAAATGGTAAGAGACGTTCGGGGAATATCATTGATTTTACCATTTTCTCGCATCATGTTAGAACATGTTTTCTTCCGTACTGAACATGAATTAAGTTACTTGCATTAACCATTTAAACTCCCTAACAGATACATCTATCATGGGGGGTGGGGTAGCCTAGTGGTTAATGTGTTCACTCATCACATCAAAGGCCTGGGTTTGATTCCCCTCATGGGTACAATGAGTGAAAGCTGTTTCAGGTTTGTTGCCTTCATATGGCTTGAGTATTGTTACAAGCAGTATAAAACTGAACTAACAATCAGCTCGGCCTTGGAACCTGCTTGCAAACATGTGACAAATATGCTGTATACACCCATGTGGTTATCACATCATGCAGCTCATCATGGCAGACATATTGGAAAACATAAATAGTGAGTGAGTGAGTTTTATTTTACACCGCTTTTAGCTATATTCCAGCAATATCACAGCGGGGGGGACACCAGAAATGGGCTTCACACATTGTACTGGTACCCATGTGGGGAATAGAACCTGTGTTTTCGGCGGAACATGGAAACACTTTAACCACTATTAGCTACCCTATCGTCCCAGATGAGGTCATGGCTTGTCAAGTAGGCCTATGTGAATCTTGTGTAGACGGTATTTTGATTTGAACCCGGGTCTTCGGCGTGACGAGTGAATGCTTTAACCCCTAGGCTACCCCACTGCGCCAGCTGTTTGGTAAATGTCAGCTGATGCTTGTCCCATCCGATGTTGTAGTGTACACATCAACGTGCTGATCTACAGAATGACTTAATATATATTTCAGATCACCCATACTGTACTTATATGACACTCTATTTTTACACCTGTGATCTGGGTTAGAATTGGTCTTCAGCACCCCAAGCATGTCGTATGAGGCGATGGATGGTCAAGCTTGCTGACTTGGTTGACCAATGTCATTGTTTCCCAATTGCATAGATCCATGCGCATGATGTTGATCACTTGATTGTCTGTACCTGACTCGATTATTTACAGACCGCTGCCATATAGCTTGAACATCACAAACAAACAAACGAACAAACAAGCTCTATTTTTGCCCATCCCCTAATGCAGGGAGATATATCTATCAGCATCCATTCGTCCAGTTCTTGGGGCGGTGGGGTAGCCTAGTGGTTAAACCGTTGGCTCGTCACGCTGAAGACCTGAGTTCGATTCCCCACATGGGTACAGTGTGTGAAGCCCTTTTCTGGTGTCACCCGCTGTGATATTGCTGGAATATTGCTAAAAGCGGCATAAAACTAAACTCACCCACTTGTCCAGTTCTTTCCTGGTGCAGAGTTAATAAGTCTATTTTTCCCATGGTCGCCAGGTATGCTGTTAACACCACAACTTGTTGAAAGTTATTGTAACTTCACTTCAATGGAAACATTCTCTTAGGTCGGGAAAATAGCATAGCTGTCACCTATGTAGGAAAATGGACTGTACCACTGATGCTAATCAGTGGGATCAATAGTCAAATCCTGGGGTCTGTATCTGGAACTGTTTAACACTAGGTATTTATCTTTATGTCAATTAATGCAGGGAGGGAAATCGGTATTGTTCGAAGGTGAATGTTTTATAGTGCTGATCAATAGTCAAATCCTGGGGGTCTGTATCTGGAACTGTTTAACACTAGGTATTTATCTTTATGTCAATTAATGCATTTATCTTTATGTCAATTAATGCATCTGGAAAACATCGGGTATTGTTGTCAATTAAAGAAGGTGAATGTTTTATAGTGCTGATCAATAGTCAAATCCTGGGGGTCTGTATCTGGAACTGTTTAACACTAGGTATTTATCTTTATGTCAATTAATGCAGGGAAATCGGTATTGTTCGAAGGTGAATGTTTTATAGTGCTAACTTAATATTATGCAGTTTAATGTAACACCATTTCCTTAGTTTAGATGTGAGCTTATCCAGTTCAGGACTTGGCTTCAGGGGTCAGAATAGAAAATATAATTATGAAAATTTATTTTAGGTTTCTGGTATTTGAATCACTGAAATAAATAACAGATTCAATGAATGAGATATTCCCAAAATTCATTCTTACTTTGCTAATATTGGTATTCCACTTTTGCAAAATTCAGGCTGATCAGAACCAAGACACCAGAACCACAGAAGAGATTACAGCCACTACATTTGTTAGATTCACCTAGAGTTATCTCCCCATTTGTAACACAATTTCCTTAGAGTTACCTCCCCATTTGTAACACAATTGCCAAGAGTTACCTCCCCATTTGTAACACAATTGCCTAGAGTTATCTCCCCATTTGTAACACAATTGCCAAGAGTTACCTCCCCATTTGTAACACAATTGCCTAGAGTTATCTCCCGATTGTAACACAATTGCCTAGAGTTATCTCCCCATTTGTAACACAATTGCCTAGAGTTATCTCCCCATTTGTAACACCTGTTGAAGCTGAAGTGAAGATGGATTAAACAATGTTTAGAATATCCTGTACAGATACAAACTGAGAACAGATTTAAATTTTTCTGGGGAACAGAGAAGAGTGGAATCATTAGATTTCTATCACACAGCTGTAATTTCTGTCATAGCAAGAAACACTTACACTCAAACTTATAGAGTGTGGTTCGTTTTCAACATTGAAATCAACCATGTATCAACAGTCAGAGACGTATTGTGTAGACAGCCTATCGTCTCGTGTTTGCGAGACGACTGCACCCTGCGGCACCATGTGAAGCTCTTGACCCTAATTACTTCAATCACCGTGGAGCCAACTCGATTGGGTGTGAACACGGCGCAACGGATCAACCTTTGAAGCTCATTATTATCATGCACTTAATCAAAAGAAGTTAAAAGATGGTTCTTGTTGTTACCCTGACTTGTGTTCAGCATTATGAGATAAAACAGGGTCAACTCAGAGGAAGCATACTTTGTGTGAGTTGGGTATCCATGTTAAACTCTATTGTCTCAGTCAGCCATCACTGTAAAACCCGGATTAGTCAGGACTAGTATAGACTGAGACACACACATGCACACATGCACACATGCACACACACTCACAAACAGGCAGATCATGTATGTCCAGGTGCAAATGTTTTTCATATAAAAGTTGGTCAAACAGAGACAAATATGTGCACACGCACACACATGCACATGCATACAAATAGACAGATCCAGTTGCAAATATTTTTTATATAAAAGTGGGTCAAGCAGAGACAGATATGCACACATGCTTGTATGCATGCATTCACACACTCACTCACTTGCACACAAATAGACAGATCACGTATGTCCAGGTGCAAATATTTTTCATTTAGAAGTAGGTCAAGCAGAGACACATGCGCATTCACCCATGCACACACGCTCACATAAATAGACAGATCAAGTATATTCAGGTGCCAATGTCTTTCATTTTAAAGTGGGTCAAGAAGATACACATCCGTATGTACCCACTCACTCATGCACAAAGAAACAGATCATGTATGTCCGGGTGTACATGGGTGTTTGATGTGGGTCAAACTGCAGTTTATGATAAGGCGTCAGTTCGGAGTGGCTGGACAGACCAGTATAAAACTGAATTCTGCTGATAACAAAATTTGTGGACATACTTGTCATCAGGCCTAGTGTAAACACAAGGCTTGACCACTAGTCGGCCATATTGGTGGAAATAATGGAGATCTAAGGGATCAATACTTGGCATGCCTGTGCTGGGAGAGTTCTCAATGTCCAGGCAAATATTTGTCTTGCCGACCATATTCTGTGTGTTTGTTCACTTTGATAAGCAGCGATAGAATTGATCCCAAAGTTGGGCCACCTTTTGATAATTCTGTACTTTACAGTGTCTTGACATCAAAATATCTAGGTGGGTCGAAATAAAAACATATTTGTATAGCTCAACATTTATATTTAGCCTGTTGTTGTTTGGGTTGGTTGGTTTTGTGTGAGAATATTTTGCTACTGATATTTAAAGTGCAAGGTGGGTGATATTTTTACCATAAAATGACATGTACAGTAAACTATGTTTATAATATAACGAACGTGCTTATATAGAGTGGGAGGGTAGGTGAGTGAGTGAACGAGTGAGTGAACAATTGAGTGAGTGAATGAAAAAGTGAGTGAGTGAGTGTGATTTAATACCACTTTTGACAATATTTCAGTTATGTATCATTATGTCAGCATGTCAGACATTTAACACACAAGCATGGATTTGGTAGTGAAAAACGCAGAATCAGCATGAACGAGATTCAAACCCATGATAAAAGGTTTCTTCCTAAGTAAATCAGCTCTGCACAGTGAGTTCTGGCACCTCAAACTGGGAAAGATTGAAGCTCCACAACCTTTAGTCCAATCCTGTACAGTATTGTGACAGAACAACAGATCATTACAATCACATCAAGAAAACCCAGTACAACACACAGCCATTCATCTTTAGTGGCATTTAGAAGTTGGTGTGATGAACACCATTGTTCAACACAGCCATTCCTTAAACCTCCTGCTCCAATCTTCCCTCATGTTCAATATGGAGGACATAGACCGACATATTTATGAAACATTTATGGTCAGGACAACTGGACCACCCATGTCGCTAAAGTGAATTCAAATCCAAGACTGATGGTATTATCTTCCCAAGTTTGTCAGTACCTATATTTCTGTTTCAAACTTGTGGTAAACATTGTAAACATGGTAAACATCTACTGAGCGGAACGTTCCTTCTATGTGCTAACACAAAGCTGCTTTAATTAAGGACAACCCCTTGTCTTTGTTTTGTTAAAAACATTAAATGGAAAAAGTTATTATTGTGTATTAAACATCACAAACAAAACCCAAACAAGTACGTTATGAATCAGTTGGAATATTAGGGTCACTGTGTTACACACAGCAAATTTAACTTTTTTGTTTTGAGCATCCCACTTACATTCAATGGTGAGTGAGTGAGTGAGTATGGTTTCACAGCACTTTTAGAAATATTCTTGCAATATCATGGCTGGGGACACCAGAAATGGGCTTCACACATTGTACCCATGTGGAGAATCGAACCCGGTTCAGCATGACAAGCAAACAATTTAGCCAAGAGGCTAGAAACTTAGTTAGATGTCCTATATTTATTAATAAGTGATAATAAGATATGTGAGCATCTATGCATCTATGTTCATCTGTGCTGACTGCAACTTATTTTAAGTGGCTCTCTATGTTGATAGTTATTGTTGCCTATTTACCAAGGTGAGCTACAGTGCTGGTGCTCTTGTCACACAAAAGACCTGGGTTTGAGTGCCATTTGGATGCAGTGTGTGAATCCCATTTATAGTGTCCTGGGGCGGTGGGGTAGCCCAGTGGTTAAAGCGTTCACTCGTCACACCGAAAGCCTATGTTCGATTTCCCCACAGGGTACAATGTGTGAAGCCCATTTTTGGTGTCCCATGTGATATTGCTGGAATATTGCCAAAACTGGCATAAAACCCAACTCACTCACTCACTGTAATGTACCTTCGCCATGATATTGTCTAGTCACGTACATGACTCTGGGATTTCCTCAGGTTCAAACTGAACAAAGTGACCTCTAGCATTCAATTAAATTCAATAGTGAGGGCATGTTTGAGAACTTTGACAGTCAGTTCTGTGTTTTTTTATTTTCAGGGTCCGTCTCGGATGTTTCCCAGCAAACCAGTGATCGCAGCTGTAGAAGGGTACGCTGTCGCAGGAGGTCTAGAGCTGGCCTGCTTGTGTGATCTGCGAGTAGTAGACGAAACGGCAATCATGGGGGTTTTCTGTAGACGATTTGGTAAACTATGCTTTATATTTATTCGCATGATCCATATGTGACTGAAAGCAAGACTCTGCTCGTTATATTGTTGTCATATTGTAAGGCTGTCATGGTGGTTGGGTGGGTTGAAGACCTGCAGGATTTTACTTTCAGAATGTATATAGCACCCTGAACTCTAGTTTCAAGTCTGGAAGGAACACTGAGACTGTGAAGCTAAATCATTGCATTGATAGTCCGAGCTATAGAGTCACCTAACACTGAAGTTTTTCAATTGTCCAAAATCCACCATTGCAATCTTATTGATAGTTCTCTATCATGTTTGTGTGTTTTGTTAAAAGATTTATTATATGATTTTGCGTAGTATGGTTATTTATATAGCTGTGAGCTATGACCTTCACAGTGCACTTATCTTTAAAACTCGGGGCGGTGGGGTTAAAGCGTTTTCTCATCACGCAGGTTCAATTCCCCACATGGGTACAATGTGCGAAGCCCATTCCTGGTGTCCCCCGCCGTGATATTGATGGAATATTGCTAAAAGCAGCATAAAACCCAATTCACTCACTCACTCTTTAAAAATCAACTGCAGTTATTTTTGTCACCTCAGATACCTCAGGGGTCGTGAAGATGAAATGTAATATATGAGTCCCGTGAAAAATGTAATTTACGCTTATTAATGAGACATTTGTGCATGCTTTAGTGCTGGAGCGATTTAATTGATTAATCAGTCAGTCAATCTCGCTTGCATCACCGATTATCGATGGGCTGGGGACACTAATTGATATTCATAAAAAATTAAACATCAAATTAAACTTTAAAAAGTATGTTATAATGGTTATGTTTGTCAAATCGAAACACAAACAACTCAGGCCGATTCCTGACTTGTAAAACTAATGTAACCAATATACCGACATGCGTGTCTCAACAGGAAGTACCCTTGATCATCTTGATCGTGGTATTAATTAGTATCTGTTTCATATGGACAATGTTATTATTGTGTCCCCTACATGAGTTTGTGGTGGGTTCTACAATCACAATCGATTAATCTGTTACTGAGCTCCGATTATTGATCTGTATATTGTAGCGATAACCAGCTCCAGCATGCTTCATATCAAAGTTTAATGTGCATGAAGAAGGATGGTTTGTTTTAACACAACTGTTCTAACTGATTAAGCATAGTTTTGCCTACTGTTTTATTATGCCCTTTGTGGGTACATCCTTTACTTGGACCGATCATTCACAGGTCATTTAGCATGTATGACTTGTCTCAGTCAGGCAGAGAAACAATGTGTGTGCATACATGGATATCAAGCTCTGTGGTATAGGGGTAGAACTGTACGCTGTTACCACGGTACGGTACATATTGCGGTACAAGGCCTTTGGTTCAGTCCGTTTCGGTTCGGTATATGAGATATGATCATAATGCAGAAAATTGACAACAAGAGCCAAACCTTACATTGTTTAATAACATGGAAAAAATTAACCATAATCCTTGTTATTTTGAATGAACGAAACTGTCATTTTATGACTAGATAGAAATGACGCTACTAAAACCGAAAATACCGAATTTTTGGATTGCATTACGGTATACCGAACCGAAGGCAAAATACAGAGGTTCTGCTAATACTGCGGTATACCGTTTCACCCCTTGTGGTAATGAAGAAAGCTTTAAAGTGAATTTATTTTAAAATTGGTGGTGGTGTCATAAACCAGTAACTGAAAAATTAATGAATGAATATAATTAGGTCAGCTGCCTAACCCACTCAACCACCACAGCTTCTACAAAATGGAGGTTGGACAACTGCTAGTCTAGACCACGGACTTTGTGTACCCTCTCATATATATGTGTAAATTTGCACAGATCCCACAGCCAAAAGCTATAAATATACAATGCCACAGTCCCATCCTGGTAGCCTCAGTGGCTGAGTGGGCTCGGCGGTTGACTTTGCGTGCTGGCGATAAGGTGCCTGACTCTGAGGGTGTGGGTTCGAATCCCAGATTACAATCGACAATGGTATTCTGTGTTCATAGAATATAATTAACTGTAGATCTCTGTAACTAATGGCAATTCTGGTGTATCTTGTGTGTGTCTGTTCAAGGTGTGCCACTCATTGATGGAGGAACAGTTCGCCTGCCGAAACTCATCGGGTTATCACGTGCCCTTGACCTCATCCTGACTGGGCGGGCAGTGACCGCTGCTGAAGCCAAGGAATATGGATTGGCCAACAGAGTGGTCGCAGCTGGCACAGGTACACAATGTCACCAAGGTGGTCAGTTGTGTGTTACAACAAAGTACAACTCAGGACATGAAAATGTATTTCATCATTATCTAAAACACTCAAAGACATTAGTTATATATATTTCTGTTCAATAAACAACTCATATTTAGCTCATACATGATGTCATGTCATGGTCACCATACAATGACAACATTACCGTCTCTAATCTGTTTCCCAGTCCAAAGAGAATAAATTAAGAAATTCAGCTCAAGTCTAGCAAGTCCAAAATTTCTCTGGTGTGGTCGGAAGTTAAGATTTGTTTTAGGCTCCTTTTGGATATTTTTCCAAGTATTTACATTTACTTCTACCTGTGAAAATCCAGTTTAGAATTGGTCATTAGCAACCCATGCTTGTTGTAAGGATCAGGTGGTCAGACTCTCTGACTTGGTTGACACATGTCATTGTATCTCAATCACATAAATTGATGTTCACAATGTCAATCACTTGATTGCCTGGTCCAGAGACGATTATTTACAGACTGCCATCATATATGTGGAATATTGATGCTGAATGTACCAAACAAACAAACGAACGGAATGCATTAGAAGAGAGTAAGAGGTTTATGTGTAGATGAAGTCTTTTACTCCTCGGAGACAAATGGAGGAATTAATCTGCAACCTCAAAGCTTTTTCTCATTAATGATTACTCATAAATTTGTTCAAAAAGTTTTAATCTAATTTTCAATGTGGCTGCCTTGCATCAAAACAAGTACTCTTGCTATCAACCCAGGTTTGTCTGGCCTGAGTAAATAGTCCTGAAAAGCTTGACCTTGTTTGTTGCTTCACATATGTGAATGGACCGTGAAAATACTGTAACTCTGTCCTTGTGTTGTCCAGCTGTAGAGGAGGCAGTCCAGCTGGCCAAAGACATCTCCATGTTCCCCCAGGAATGCATGCTTACTGACCGGAGGTCAGCATATTACAGCTCCTTCAATGCCAAAAATACACTTGATGCATTTCAGTTTGAATTTGAGAATGGAATGAAAGTCATCGCAAAGGAATCAGTCAAGGGTAAGCACTAATTCTGGGTTAGAATGAATCTGGATCTAAGGACATGCATGTATACATATGCTCACAAAATTAACTTGGCTGTCTATGGGTTAAAGCAGATCAATGGCAACAGGGGTTAAGCTGATCTTGACCACTTTTGGCAGTGGATACTTGAAAACGGTTTCATTTATGGCAGCATTTGTGGGCATATCAAGCTGTTCATGAGACATAAGAGACCCGTGAAGATCCAGGTTAAAATTATTCTTCTGTAATCCATGCTTGTCGGAAGAGGCAACTAACGGGATCGGGTGGTCAGGCTCGCTGACTTGGTTGACACATGTCATTGTATCCCCATTGCATAAAATTAAACTCACTCTCTTACTCATGCTGTTGATCACTGGAATGTCTGGTCCAGACTCGATTATTTACAGACCGTCACCTGCTGGAATATTGCGGCGTAAAACTAAAACTCACTCGCTTACTCACTCACTCACTCACTCACTCACTCACTCACTGGAATTCATCATCAGTACTTCACAAGTTTATGTACACTGTGATCTCTCCCTCTGCATCCTTCTGAGATCAGTGTAGTGGTGACTCCTTCTGAGATCAGTGTAGTGGTGACTCCTTCTGAGATCAGTGTAGTGGTGACTCCAAATATTGGTCCTGAAGGTCCAGTATGCCAAACTCTGGACTTGAATTCCATGCCTGGTATTGAAGGAATGTGCACATAAGATGAGTACAAAGAACACACAACACAAGCCATATTGCCATATGCGTGATGTAATCTGAGCTCTCATCGGTCAGAACAATCGACATCCTCACTGGAACAAAACAGCTGCTTTAGATTCAGTGACTAGATAGCAAAGTGTCTATCTGTATAGTTTCACAAGGGAGTGAGTGAGTGAGTTGGGTTTTACCCCTCTTTTAGCAATATCCCAGCAATGTCATGGCTGAGGACTAGTGGTGGTCCGATTAATTGAAATAATCGAAGATTGGTCGCAGTGACTAAACGACCAAGCAGTCGAACATGTTTTCTCGTAATCAAACACGACCAATCTTGGAACACTTGTTTGTATTAACAATATTTTTCACACGGCTGGTTTTGTCTGTGTCATTAAATTTACATTTCATAAGCACTACAAGCTCGTTCCAAGTCATGATTGAATTTATCTTAAAGAATCCAGGAAATATGTGTTCCTAACATACTAATCATCATTTAAATATGCAAAATTTGCACATGGACTTTAAGTAATTTGCACCCAAAAAAATTACTATATGTTTTTTCTTTCTTTTTTTTGTGCATTAACAAAAATAACAGGGACATTTAATAAATGACACTAACCAATTATTTTCGATGATTGATCAATTGTAATGGACCAATCATCAATTATTAGATTTTAACCAATTCCCAACACTGCTGGGGGACACAAGAAATGGGCTTCACACATTGTACCCATGTCGGCCCAAGGCATGAAGAGCGAACACTGGAATTAAGGAGCATACTGTATATAAACCTGTCATGTACTAATACTACATGTTATATGTATGTATTCATGATTTCAGGTGCACAGAGCTTTGTGAAAGGATCGGGCAAACATGGCAGTTTTAATTTGGACAAGAAATCCAAACTTTGATGGAATTGCAGGAGTGTATGGATTGGATATTGTTTCTGTTCCTTCCGTGTTTGGTGAAGATGTAGTGACCATTGACATGGTATTATATACATGTGGATCAATTGAACAGAATATTCAGAGAACAACGAGTGAGTTTAGTTTTACGCCACTTTTAGCAATATTCCAGCATTACGACGGTGGTGGACACCAGAAGTGGGCTTCACACATTGTGCCCTTTGTGGGGAATCAAACCCAGGTCTTTGGCATGGTGAGCAAATGTTTTAGCCACTAGGCTACCCACACTGACTATTGTGGGAAGAAACAAACTCAGAGTACATGCAAGGGGCTTACATCAGGACAGTCAGACAGTGTCAATCAGTATTAGTGTGTTCTTAGTACAATATTCTATAGATTATTCATTTTCATTTTAAAAGAAACATGAATGAAATGTCAGTTCTGGAGATACAACATGAGATACTTACTGAATATATAAAATAAACAATCAACTGAAACAATGTTATAATGCAATGTGACAAAACACTGAAATTTACATGTATAAATGTCAGGATGTAATGACACTTGATATTTCCACGCCTACAGGTGGTAATTAGAGATTATTATAGTGCAGATATCATATCAACCCTCACCCTACAGTATCCCTCTGGCCTTTGGCCCTCGATCTGGTATGGGGGGCGTATGGCCTTTAACCCAGGGGCGGGTTAATATGAGGGTGACAACCCCTCCCCTCTCTTCATCCAGCTCTTATATAATTTGTCTTGGCAACCAATTCCAGTATGCTTGAGTCATATCAGAGTGCACAGATTCGCTTTTCACATAAAATGCAATATTATGCAAGGGCATGAGCTTAGAGCTAGATAGCTTATCATTTAGCCACTGACATTTTGGCATTCACACATCAGATAAACATTTCTAGGGATACCACATAACCAGGCTCGGCATCCGGCATCCTGCGGAAAAGGGTTTGGCACCCTCTGATATGGGGTATAGGTTTGGTATGGGTTATGATATGAAGACTGCCTTCAACAACCTTTGTATCTCTTACCATAACATCAAAATGCAAATGTACCTTGTTGCAAGTGAACATTATGCATTTTCACCTTGTAAGGAAGATATTGTCACAGAAAAGAGATTTAGCTCCACCCAAAATGCATTGACAAACAATATCAGCCTGGGAAGGGGTGTAATACGGGTCTGGATATTATGCCCATGTAACATGGCCATCTCTGTGTTGGTTCCACTGCACATGGAAAATGTCTAGTGTTGCCCTTGCAGGTGTTTTTGATTAGTTTGTCAAAAAGGTGAGAATTTATGGATGTCAACTTTTGTATTTTGAGGAACACTTCGCTTAGGACTACATTTCCACTCCTTCATCATCATCATTGATCTGATGAAGAAGTGAGAATATACTCTGAAACGTACAGAAGTTGACATCCATATATTCTTAGGGACCGTTTATAATTTATGGCTAGGAGGGGTGATTTAAAGGCGGGGTCACCCATTTCGTTCTGGGAAGCTAGAGGGGGTCATCAATTTTGTACACACATACTAGGGGGGTCAGCAATTTTGTACATAAAAATATGTTTAAATTTATAGCTTAAAAGTTAGGGGGTGGGGCATTGATTTTGTACATGACATGCAGGGGGGTCACTTTTTTTTTACATAAATTTTAGGGGGGGTCATTCACATTGTACATGCTTCTCCATAAAAATCATCATCACACCCCCCTAGCCATAAATTATGAACGGTCCCTTACCTTCTAAATGCTGTCCAAAGACTTCTTTACCATGTGAGATGAGTAGGGGCGGATGCATCTTTTTGAGAAAGGAGGGGTGCACACTTCTTTTTCACGAGAGTTTCAATGGTCATGTAATCAACTTTCAGGGCAAAAGGAGGGGTGCACAACCGTGTGTGTGTGCGCACACACTCACACGCATGCACGCACACACACACTGGATCCGCCTATGATGAGTGTTTCCAGTCAAGAGTGTATTCTAGTATATTCTTGTGCTTACATGTGGAAACATCAGATGCATCACCACAGTCCATGAGTGAGTGAGTTGGGTTTTACCCCACTTTTAGCAATATTCCAGCAATGTCACGGGACACAAGAAGTGGGTTTCACACATTGTACACAAGTGGGGAAGCGAACGTGGATCTTCGGGCTGCGCTTTAACCACTGGGCTACCTCACCAACTCCCATGGTCCATGAAATGGACATGACTGAGTCACTATATGCTTTTTTACTGATCTTTCAAGAATATATATTTAGTATGACCACTTTGTTTGTGATACATTGTTATCCTTGTTTGTATTGAATTGTCCAGAAGATTGAATGAAATAATGTAAACAGCTGAAACTGTTTTGATTCACATCATATATACTCCTCACAAAAAATTAAGCAACAAGTATTTTCAGTGTAATATCTTTATCAATCTCGATAGCGATTTTTGCCGACATGTTACTGAAAGGTAAATATTCAAAGAGTACATAACCTTAAGTGACTATCAAATTGATTTATCTCATAACATTGACAACATCACCAGAACACAACCACCCTCAGAAACAACATGCAAAATGTGTGGCATGAATGTGCTCCACTCTTCACACATACATTCTGATCGGTGTAAACCTGCCTGTAATCATTCCTCTGGCACAACAAGCGGGTACTAACTTCAGTTTTATGGATGATAATGCCCGGGAAAGAATTGTTATCGATGTTGTATAGATCAACAACATCACACATATGGACTGACATGCAAGGTCACTTGATCTTAATCCCATTGAACATGCTTGGGACATTATTGGACGTCGTCTTTATGGTCTCCATGTTCACCCCCAGACTCTGGATGACCTTGAGCAGGCGTTACAGAGAGAATGGCAGAACATTCCACAACAGCAACTTAAAGGCTCATTTGGTCAATGCAAAAGACGTGTAGAAGCTTGCATTTGTGCTCATGGTTGTCATAGGCTACTGAACACAGCTTCACTGTCCAAAGCTGACTTGAACCTTGTTGCTTTTGATGATTTGTAAGTCTATTATTGCTCAATACCATTTCATTTTGTTTATCGTATGTACATATGTTTCACCTTTCTATTGCATCATTCCATGATTTGCAATTTCAATAAATGAAAATGTAATGAGACTACAAATGTGTGTTGCTTAACTTTTTGTGAAGAGTATATGTAGAAAAGTGCATTGTGGTAGGGTGTGCATTGTGGTAGGGTGTGTATTGTGGTAGGGTGTCTATTTTGGTAAGGTACAACGATTTCATATTGCATTCTTGTCACTGAATGTGAGTCAGTGAGTATTGTTTATCACAGTTGTTATGTATATTCCAGCCACATTACACCAGGGCATTCCGATTAAAGCTGAATGCATTTGTTTGTTTGTTTGTTTGTTGTTTAACCAGCACTCAGCAATATTTCGACAGCGGCCTGTAAATAACCAGACAATCCAGTGATCAATAGCATGAGCATCGATCTGCGCAATTGGGAACCGATGACATGTATCAACCAAGTCAGCGAGCCTGACCACCCGATCCCGTTAGTCGCCTCTTACGACAAGCATGGGTTGCCCTCAGCTAAATCTTTTATGGTGAAACAAACGCACATGATGATTTTTAAACAAGCAGAATTCACACTGCGTTTATTCCTTGTCAGGACGATAGTCCGTGAAATGTACATGCAGGTATCTGTTGTATTTTTGTGTTTAAAATTCTGCAAACTATTGATAGCTGTCAAGTAATAACCGTTACTGTTTCTAGAGAATGCATTTATAATGCACACAACTCCATTCACTAGCTGAATGCTCATAGCGCTAACAAATATAGTCTGATTATTATTACCCTGGCTGCCTGTGAGACGCTAGAAAGTTAATAGTCACATGACTTATCCCACCAGTTTCCTATTTTCTGCTGGTTGAACAGAGGCAATTTTGAACAAACTCACTTGCCTAAGGTGAGACCACATGTATCACATGTGCTTCGTTGTGGGGCAGGACTCAAGTCCTAGAAACTCTCAGGAGTCAAGCTGCCCAACACAGTCACCCATCCAAGGACTCTCCGTGCTCAACGTTGCTTAACTTCAACTGGTTTGTAACCTTCCTTCGTGTTCCCATAATATTTCTACGCAGTTGTTTATATATTATTTCCATTTTAAAAATATTTCATCTCATAATGCCAAAATACATGCATTGTCTTTGTTTCGGTTTATGTCACATTCACTTCATTCTATAGTCGACGGTTTGGCTCAAAAGCGGACCGATGAATTGCAAAGTAACTCGAAAACTAATAAACATATAATACTCAATGAAATACTGATCATAATCAAAACATCAGACAAACTCTGTGGTTTGTTTGCAGAATTTATGTCCTAAAATTTAAAAAGTTGTTTAACAAACTATCATTAAAAGTTTGACACAGTTCACTATTTGTTACGAGGGAGGGGTGCAGAGAAAGGGACAGCCAGAGACGCACGTACACAAGTGCCCACCAAGTTATTGATTCATTAACCTGTGCTGTGCCGTCTCCATCCTTTCTCGCACACTTGGCTGTCCCTTTCTCTGCACTCCTCCCTCGTAAGAAATAGTGAACTGTGTCCAAATTTTAATGATAGTTTGTTAAACAACATTTTTATATTTAGGATATACATTCTGCAAAAACCTCACAGAGTTGGTCTGACGTTTTAATTATGATCAGCGTTTCATTGAGTATTATATGTTTATTAGTTTTCGAGTTAGATTGCAATTCATCGGTCCGCTTTTGAGTCAAACAAACTATAAGTGTATGAAAGAAAAGACATTATAGATAAACGACCCAGCCTTTCAACATCACTACTACCAGACCACTGGAAAACAACGTAATATGCACAAGAACAAACATGCATCAAAACGTTTCTAACATATATTGCTTCATATTACATCCATATTACATCCATATTATGTAGTACACTGATTATAACTTGATACTTTGACAGTACAATTGCACCGAGTGATTTGGCCATGTTCGTCAAAGCCGCTGCTGTTGTTGACGGCTGATGTAGTCGGGCAGACCAGAAAATAATACAATACCTCCTCAAATTGCGAGCACTATTCATGAGCTATACTGCCTGGGGATTCCCACGTGATTCATCCAGTCTGACAAGCATCACTGTGTGGACAATATATTGCTGTGTAGTGAGAGACGGGGTACAATAAACAGTTGTTGTGCTGTCAATGCACGCCTGGAGAAAATATGTCTAGCCGTGTTTATTAGCCATTCAGACATTGTTAGCTATTTTTTCACCTTTGTGTTTATTTGAGTATGTTATTGTGTAATTCCTAGTCTGTCTCCCAATCCCTGAACAACAGTTTTTCCTTTTATACCTTTGACCGTGAAGATCCGGGTTAGAATTGGTCTACAGTAACCCATGCTTGTCGTACCCAGGCAACTAACGGGATCGAGTGGATAGGCTCGCTAATTTGGTGACACGTGTTATCGTATCCCATTTGTGTAGATCGATGCTCATACTGTTGATCATTGGATTGTCTGGTCCAGACTCGATTATTTACAGACCGCTGCCATCTTGTTTGAATATTGCTGTGTACGGCGTTAAACAACAAACAAAAATCTGAAATTGTAAAGAGATCCAAGTCAGCTTATTTATATTTTCATCACTCGGGCTTCTTTTCAATTAAACAGTCGTGTGTTTCTATCAAAGGTATGTATATTCAGTGATTGGTGCCTGTGAAACCCCATGTCTGCAAAGTGTCTCACCAAGGTAGTTAGTCCTCGGGTATGCACTCCTGATGTTGCATGTCAGTTCTGCCTGAGATAGACAATGTACCATGAGTCGGTATAGTTTATGGCAGTTAGGGTTGGGATACAGGACAAGGTGTGTCAAGCTTTTCAACTCACAAGATGAAAAGATGACAATCGCCTTCATCTTTCACATTTCCACGAAGATCCGGATTAGAATTGGTCTTCCGCAACTGCTTGTCATAAGAGGCAACTAACGGGATCGGGTGGTCAGGCTTGTTGACTTGGTTGACACATGTCATCGAAGTCCGAAGTCCCGGCTCGATTCCCCACTTGGGTACAATGTGTGAAGCCCATTTCTGGTGTCCCCAGCCGTGATATTGCTGGAATATTGCTGAAAGCGGCGTAAAACTAAACTCACTCACTCCGCATAGACCGATGCTTACTGATGATCACTGAATTGACTGTCTCGATCATTTACAGATCATCCCATATACCTGAAATATTGCTTAGTGTGGCGTTAAACAATAAGCAAACACTAGATTGACCTGCTTATATGTTTCACTGCTTTCTGGATTATATGATGTTGGAATTTACATCTTCAAAGGTCATTACGTTACTGTAACACAGTGCACGAATAAAGGAAAGAGATCCGCCCGTAATCCCCGCCTGAAATGTTAGGGTTAAGTTAGGTCCGGTCCGGACATCTGACTGACTGACTGAGTTTTGGTTTTACGCCGCTTTTAGCAATATTCCAGCAACATCACGGCGGGGGGAGACCAGAAATGAGCTTCACACATTGTTTGTTTAAAGCGTTTAAAGGGGGTTTAGAAGTTTGGGGGAATAAAAAGATTTCTAAAAAGATTCAGATGTCCGGAGGGGCGGTGGGGTAGCCTAGTGGTTAAAGCGTTGGCTCGTCACGCCGAGGACCCGGGTTCGAATCCCCACATGGGTACAATGTTTGAAGCCCATTTCTGGTGTCCCCCGCCGTGATGTTGCTGGAATATTGCTAAAAGCGGCGTAAAACCAAACTCAGTCAGTCAGTCAGTTAAACAAACAAACACCCCACCCCCCAAAAATGAATAAGCGCCCCTTTTAAAAAAATAACTATTTAATCTTAGGCATTGATTGATAAAAAAAACGGTAGTTATACAGGAGGAAATCTTTCCCGAATAAGTCAGATATGTTTACGTTAATTATCATTTATTCCCTACACTTGACTGTTGTGAATTGATATTGATTGTTTCTCCTGCCGACTTGTACAGTTTTCGCTGACACCGAAACAAGCTTTCGTTATGAATAATGACTTAAGTCTCCGTGGTGCTCTGTTGTGCCTGTTTACAAATAGCGATTATACATAATAGATCAACAGCTCGGGACACGCTATAACCGTGACATCTAAGTTTGGAAACAATGTGATCAATTCTCTCTTGGATCCAACAACCATCTCAAGAAGTGCTCTCACAGGTGCAAGGACACTTTCCACGCGTCATAGGGGAAGGGGATCAGTCCATTATTTCATAGGGATCAGGAACGAAACATACAGGTGTTTTGTTTGGTTTTGTTTTGATTTAATTCTTAATATGTGCCCGTATAGGTGTCGCGACAAGATGTGGAATCCGGTTTGGATCTGAAAACTCGTAGGAATCCAGCGAAAAAGAATTTAAGTTGATTTATCCACCCAACCCCTCCCCTGTAGTTTTTTTAACCCAACCATATTCACTGCCAATGATAAGCATCAAGTCATGCATCGCTTTGACGTTTCCAAGCCAACAGTTCAATAACGTCAAAATTGCTTTGATTAATAGATAAGTAGGCGTGTCGGTTCATTGTATTTTATATTGCATTTAATTTATTTATGATTTATTTTTTTAAATGTTATTTTGTCATGTTGACACAATGAGACGCCACAGACGCTCAATGTGATGTTGGAAGTTAATAATACTTTCATTGTGCTGTCCAGAAAATCTATAAGCAATGTAATATTGAAACGATTCTCTCCTGCAGTGCATTTTATTAATTAATCGATGTAACACATGTTTCATTCTAGGTCGAGATGAAAAGTTTATTGATAGAGTCTGATTATTCTGTCAGCGATATGATGGCGTTGTCTCAAAACAAGGTGAACATTTCACATTTAGAATCAGTGTGACCTAGCGATCAACATTTAAGGCATATGAAGGCCTGGTCGGCTTCGAATCTCGGTGTGTGACAACAGTCGTTTCGATCTTATGGTTTATGGTCCTGCGCATATGGCTCAGGTCACAAATCAGCAACCCCTGCTTGTTGTAAGAGGCGACTAACGGGATCGGGTGGTCAGATTTGCTGACTTGGTTGACACATGTCATCGTTTCCCAGTTTCGTAGAACGATGCTCATGATGTTGATCACTGGATTGTCTGGTCCAGACTCGATTATTTACAGACCGCCACCATATAGCTGGAATATTGCTGACTGCGGCGTAAAACAACAAACAAACAAAACAAACCAAATATCTGTGTAATTCTAAATCACTATCACTATCATGTATATATTTCAATCATGAAAGCAGTGTATGTGATCTGAATGTTAGCTGAGTTTTAGTTTTACGCCACTTTTAGCAATATTCCTTCAATATCACGGCGGGGGATTCCAGAAATGGGTTTCACACATTGTACCCATGTGGAGAATCGAACCCGGTCTTCGGGGTGACGTGCGGACGCTTTAACCACTAGGCTACCCTACTGTGTACAAGAGTTCAAATTTTATGTGGCAGGGGCACATTTCTTCAATAATCGTCATTCACGCTGCTGGTTTTCACACACTGAGGAAGGAAGTATGTATCTGGAATGTTTATTGCAACAATAAAAAGAATGTAACATATGTTATATTTGGGATTAAACTTTTGGGGTTCCATCCGGGATTCAAACCCACACCCTCAGAGTCAGGCACCTAATCGCCAGCACACAAAGTGGCATTGTGTATTTCATAGTTTTCGGCCGTGGGAGCCGTGCATATCAGAGTGGTACACAAAGTCCGCAATCTAGACTACCAGTTGTCCGACTTCCATGTTGTGGAGTGAGTGAGTTTAGTTTTACGCCGCACTCAGCAATATTCCAGCTATATGGCGGCGGTCAGTAAATAAGTCTGGACCAGACAAGCCAGTGATCAACAGCATGAGCATCGATCTGCGCAACTGGGAACTGATGACATGTGTCAACCAAGTCAGCGAGCCTGACCACCCGATCCCGTTAGTCGCCTTTTACGACAAACAGAGTCGCCTTTTGAGGCAAGCATGGGTTGCTGAAGACCTATTCTAATCCCGGATGGGACTCAACCCCAAAAGTACTAGAATCTGTACTTTACTAAGAAAGTGTAATCCCAAATATAACATATGTTACATTTGATCACGTTCTAAAATGGCATTGTGTATTTCAATCTAAAATGGCATTGTGTATTTCATAATCAAAAGGAATCACGATGAGCTCGCACACAAAACTTGGCCTATGATAAAGTTAATCTGAAATAAATAAAAAACGAGGAAATCGCCATTGACTTGTTTATTACATAATATGACTAGATATTTCTCGTTAGAATTGATGCCCAATTTATTATTCTCCCTGGTCTGACAGGATATTTGAAGGTCACGTATAATATTCATGAGTGCGAGCGTGCATAACTACCGTTTAAATATCATGCCATATTCAAATGTACATCATATAGACTTTGGGCGGTGGGGTAGCCTAGTGGTTAAAGCGTTCGCTCGTCACGCCAAAGACCCGGGTTCGAGTCCCCACATGGGTACAATGTGTGAAGCCCATTTCTGGTGTCCCCCGCCATGATGTTGCTGGAATATTGCAAAAAGCGGTGAAAACTAAAACTCACTCACTCACTCATATAAACGTATATAAGCGCCATGGTAATTGTGCGGTTACAATTAAACACGTTCATTGCCCATATAACAAGACATTAATGAGAATTTTATCAACCATACAAGTGAAATGTTATAATTTTTAACTTTATTTAAATTTTTCAATAAAACTTGCAAGGGTAAACACATTGAGCCTCACATGCGGTCGACCCTAAGAGACCGACGCTTCCATGGCCTAATTTGAAAGGTGATTCCCCGTGACGTCACGCATTCCTCTGTCACGTGGCCAGCTATGTCGCGTTATAACTACACGTTCCAATGAATAGGCTATAAGACACTATAGTATAGACGCACCAGAGCCAGAGATCTATGACTATGTCGTTGATTTATTCAACACATTCACAACCGCGACATACTAATGTGTCACAAAGGGTCGTGTTGCTGTATCGATTGATATCCTCAGGCGCTATTTACTCATAGGAGAGGTATATGGAATATCTGTTAGATGAATAACAGTTTCGCGGTAAAATTTCTTTAGGGGGCATTGCGCCACTCTATACAAAATCTACAGCTAACCTCATATGCAAGCATGCCATCATCATGTTGATGTATGAACTGAATGAGGTTTTCGTATGACCAGACGGCAACTATTGTATGATATGTTTGAATAGTATCGAAATTCAAACTTGATATTATTTGCTTTTCAACACAGTACAAACAAACAGTTAACCCTTGCATATTTTGACAAACAACAGACATCTTGTCACTATCTAGGCCTGTGTATATTGATGTCAGTTCATGTCTACAGGGGTAAAACACAAATGCGAACGTCAAACTGTCTATCCGTTCAAATTGTGTATGTCTAATTGGGAAATGTAAACAGGCCTTAATGAATAATATATTTTGGTCACACACAACAGTATAGTGTGCATTAATATTAGCGGTTGGGGGGGGGGGGGGCAGTTTGAATCCTTGACTAAAACTCTGGTCCATCTTCACCTTACTGAGGCATCATGAAATAAATTTCGAATTGTTTTGTAGTAATGTAAATCTTTGAATAACATCATTCACATATAAAGTCGGCAGTCACGATAACAGTTCCATTTGCCTTGAGTATGCTATGCTGACATTAAAAAAACGCAAGTAATTCCACGACAGCTCAGTGACCAGCCGTGCAATATTTTGTGTTTATGTCTTCATAAACCTAAATGAATCATTAGGCCACGCCCACTAGCGACGAACTTTCATCGCCTGTGTTGTTTATTGGGCTTATCGATCGCAAAATATGCGTTGTTGTTTGCAGTTTATTGTATGAAATATTTATATGATTAAAATCCAGGCTGTTGGTGTGTTTAAGTTAAACGATCTGCGTAAAATGTAGAGGTTTTTACATCACAAAACGCAAAACCTGCAACCAGTTCATAAATAACTACAACAGTCGCACGCGACAATCGCCTCAACGTAAACACACTTCCGTTGTTTTGTAAATCTGTTTACCTGCGTATGCGAGCGGTGGGGGCGTGCTGCACAGAAAAACGGGTCAGGTGACAGGATTCTCGCGAAGCAGCGGTGCTCAGTGAAGTGTGTCTGAACCTGTCTGTATATCTCACTCCGAACACCGTCAACCATCCAGCCAGTCAAGTCGCGCTGCACGGCCAACCATCTCAACCCAGACGTCCCATCCAAAACACACCGACATGGCGACCAGCGAAGAGTTGAAAAACTACGAAGCTTTCTTCGACCACGCTGATGCGGACAAGAGCGGATGTCTAAGCATCCAGGAGTTAAAAAAATGTCTCAAAAATTCCGGATTCGACGATCAAACCATTCTGGTAAGCCCAAAATGTTTCTATCTATACTTTATTACATCGGAGTCGTGTTGACACGTGAAAGTAAACTACCTGTATGTTTGATGGCAAATCAACGACGAATATCACATCAAGGTGGACATCAAAATGGCAAACACTGCAGTCAACGGCGTTTGTCAAGTAAACTATTTCATCTTTGAGTCTCGACGTTCACAGCCCTTATCACTACGCATAACTTGATTATGATAAAAAGTATAGTTTTCAGTATTCTTTTTCCGACAGGGCTCAGGTAGTCGCGTTTCACTTTAAGGATAAACCCGGGATTTATTGACCGCATCCAGGCGTTATGTCTTGTTGACCCAGGCTTTTGTAAAATAATCTTTGCTGTTGACTATACAGCGTGCCTGGGAATTGCGGCATGTATAGAATGGAGGCATACGCGACATGAATACATCTATGTTTTCACTTGTAAATTTATGTGATACCGACTTCATGCTTAATGCTTGTTCGGTTTTTATGCATGTATGCTAGGACCCTTATTACGACATACGGCGGTAACTTAATGCAGTTTAAATGTTATTGAGGTCAAAAAGAAAAGTTCCGCTTGAATTCCATTTCCTTTTCAACTGCTGAACAACGTCGGAATGACTGTATTGTGTAAGAACACAACTGCCAGGCACAATATGAATTTGAAATTTTGAGTTTTGAAGTCTTGTTCAGTCATAAGTTAAATCCGAAATATTTTAAATCTGCAAAGAAAAGAGAGGTAGATTGACGTTTTGAGTTGATTTCGATCCTGTGGTATTAATTATTGACCATATCATATTAAATGTATTTTTTTATTAACCGTAGTGATTTTTGGCATTATTCTTGTGTGTGTCTGAGGAAATGTTGTTTGTTTATTACATATTTAAAATAATTACTCCAATTTATTTTTATGTTATAATATTACACGAATAGTTTGTAGATTCTAAAATGTACATGTTAATGTCAAGATAAAGTTCACACTGCATGGGTATTGCTGCATGAAAAATTGGACAAATAACAAATTATATCTGAGTGAGTCATTAGAATCAGAATTTTAAATGGCGACGTAAAATGTCGTCTAAATATCAGCGTTATCGGATAATCAGCCTTAACAACTTTTAAATATATCAAGCCCCATGTGAATCTATGAGTCATTAGACCTTAACGAGCCTGCACGTATTGGCATCAAATGTTGGTGGGGGGGCGGAATACTTTCGTTCTGAATTTAATATGTTGAACACATGTGCTTGAGTGGTGAGCTCGTAGAGGCATTTAAAGGGATACTGATCTTGGGCCAGGAGGACATTTGAAAAACGATTAACATATCCTTTAACATATCTTTTATTCACTCACGACATATTCCGCATTTTATCTCTTCATTACAAAAGCGAAATGACCATTCACTGGATATTCTTGATGTGTTGAAAATAAGCGGTCATTAGTTTTAAAAATGTTAGGACACCAGTTTTGCTTGCGAACGGAAAAAGTATTTTTTGTCAATCTATAAAGCTTGTGGTTTAAATCACAAACAAAACAATAGTTACTTACTATGTTCTGCAAAATACTGGTTATTTTTCGAAACCGAAATCGCCGCGAATAGCTGCAACACTGCTGATGCGGCGTTAGGCAATATTCACTCACTCACTCACTCACTCGAAACTGAAAAAAAAACCTAATCCATTTAAAAGAGCATTTACTCTAGTTTCCCTTGCGAATAGTAAATGTGTTGTTCCTTCTTACACGGACACTGTCCCAGTTTATTCTGGAACATAATCCGTTGACAGAATGTTGCTGTTGGAACTTTGCCAGTAGACACTATCATCCCCCGGCTTTGTGTTTGAAAGTATGGGGTGTTGAAGCAGCTCAAGGTTATCCTATTACGTATATAGACTTCTGTGGCCTGGGGACTTTTAACAGTAATCTCTTATGTCACGGGTCAAGGTCGTTTTGAAGGTCACATGACTGCCCCGGAAACGTTTACTGTAGGCAAATGAAACTTTTTAGTGACCTGCGGTTAATGTCAAGGTCGCTGTGAAGGTCGGTCTTAAGGTTACCTGCAAGTGGGCCGATGAATCCATAGTTTCTTGCAGTCTTATGTATGCAGAAATTCTATGTTTTGACAAGTCGAATATTTCTTATGAAATGACAACGTCATATCCTTTTAGTTGGTCGCTGGTAACCTTTTGCAGCGGAACATTCCTGCAAATATAGGTCACACACATATAGACATTCCATGTCTGTTAAAGATGTTGAGAAACATGAGTTTATTTTGTCATTTCCTGAAATGTGGCCTTTTTATCTGCCCAAACTCAATATTCTAACACAAGATAATGCAAAATACCTGATTCATATTATGAAATATGGAACACTGTTTCCTGTGTTTAATTCTGTTTGTATTTTACGTAAAATAGTTTTTCGTGGTATGGAGCGGCTCGACATTAATTTGATGTCCGACAACCGTCTGACTGTTATTGCCTATGTGTCTGTCTGGGTTCGAATTCCATATTAATTCTGATTACGATTTTCGATCAGTCACCGATATAACCATGCTTAGAGGTTCCACCAAAATCCGAAATCCCCATCACATCTGAAACCGATATGCCGAGAATGAACGGAAATCTTGTTCTAATCGACCTTTAATCTGAACGCTTTCTCTTACTTTTTTATTCTAAACTGCAATAAGTAAAAACTAGATATAAATAACATCGAAAAACCTTGAACTCAAGGAAATCTACGTAAGCTACAAGTAGTCCGCATTCGTGGGGCCATTAGGTCGCCTCAGTATTCGGAGAGCGATCAGAACGTAGCCTCAAGGTCTGTTTCAGGTCCATGAATCATAGAGTATGGTCTTCTTGATCAAAATCGCACCCATTTCACACATATAAATGTCAGCCCGACCGTCACACACACCTGTCATACGGAGATGTGCGTCACGTTCCGGTGCCCGTATTGAGTTCAGTATTGTCATGTGTAAAACGGGAGAAATTACCTTTTCGTAGTTATGGTGATTATGAACTGCAGGGTTGACAGTACGTCTGGCCCCTATTTCTCGAAACAAACTTAAGTTTTTACTCAAACTCCAATCTGAGTTTGACAATTTGAAACAGCTGAATATTTAACTCAGCTGCATTTTAAAAATAAAAAAGCCCAAACAACTTAAGTATTCTATTCTCCAAACTCAAATTGTCTACTATTTTTGAGTTTAATATGGATTTCAGTTCATTCTGGGAAATGAGTTTTTCTCAGATTTGAGTAAAATTCTAACTTAAGTCAAAACTCAGACTTAAGTTTGTTTCGAGAAATCGGGGCCTGGAATTAACTAAGTGTCGTTGAGTTAAACACCGTTAAATGTCTTTAAACATTTAAAAAGAGTAACAAATGAGCGAGTGAGTCCGTTATAATTTAACGTCACCTCGGCAATATTTCAGCCATATAGTGACGCCATATAGTGTGTGTTTTGCATACACAATAGCGGGGTAGCCAACTACTCCTCACGCCAAAGACCCGGGTTCCATTCCCCACATGGGTACAATTAGTCTGTCTCACAGTCCCTGAACCACATTAATTTCCCTACTGCCAAGCCCTCTCTGCAGTGCTAAAGTCCTAAATAAAGCAAGTCTAGATTTCCTCAGGTTCTGAATCTCTGGTCTCCCTGGGGCTCCTTTTCAATATAAATGGGCTTGTTTGTTACTATCAAAATTATATATATTCAGAGACTAAGCCTTAGTCTAGGGTACAATGTGTGAAGCCCATTTCTAGTGTCCCCCCGTCGTAATATTGCTGGAATATTGCTACAAGCGGCGTAAAACCATACTGACTCACTCACTTGTCAATAGATACTTTCACCGCCCCCCGTCATTAATGACAGACACATCTCCCCTCACATTAACTCAAGATATGCTTGAGTGTTGTACGAACTGACTTCCGCTATCTTATACTGTTTGTATTGACAAGTCTTATGGGTTTGTGGAGGAGTTCCCATATTTTAACAAAGAGTCAGGCGTCCTGATTTCACAACACTCACTTCTAAACTGATTTAGGACCACGGTAAAGAAGCCCACACCTAACGCTATGATAGGCTTGAGGAATGCTATCGTATCATTTTCCTCCGTTTGATAGCAGCTTCCGTACACTCCTTAGGCATATTTTTAAGGGACCATCATATCTGTTTCTGACCAGTGTCTATTTTACAGCTTTTCCCCAGCGTTGGTAAAAGTAATTCACCTATATGACTTCATCGAGGGTCACCTGTTATCTCGACCGTGGTGTAAGTGGATGCCATCCCAGAAACTATTTATTAATCCCCTCTTAAGCGTGGGCGTGTTAGAATCCCATAAGCGTATAAATTCTCATCATGAATTATTAAAGGTTTTATAATTCCATTCAGTTGTGACAACTTCTTTAAATCAAATCAAATCACTTTAATATTTTGTATCTCCATGAGGGCATTTTCAAGCTGGTATGATGAAGAGGAACGAGCTTGCTTGAAGAGGAACGAGCTTGCACCGAAACGTCGCATCTGTTGCTATAAAGCTTTGAAACCTTAAAATGTGCTCCTCTTCAGTTATGGCAAGTAGTCACCCCCCTAGCCATTAATTATGAACGGTCACTAATCTTACATTTTGTCCTACCCGTGTAGATCCGGGTTAGAATTGATCTCCAGCAACTCATGCTTGTCGTAAGAGGCAGCTAACGGAATCGGGTGGTCAGGCTCGCTGACTTTGGTGACACATGTCATCGTATACCAATTGCCTGGATCGATGCTCATATTCTCAATCACTTGATTGTCTGGTTCAGACTCGACTAGAAACAGACTGCCGTCATACAGCTGGAGTAATGATGAGTACAACATGTTGTCCTACTCTCTGGCTTCAATTCGACAACCCATCAAACTGACTCCTCTGAACGGGTGTAGCCTGTTCAGTCCCTGAACCACATTATTTCCCTTCCGACGAACACCTTCTGTAAAACAAAACCCCTAGATGAAGCAAGTCTAAATTTCTGAGCTCACCGGAACTCCCTTTTCAGTTTAAATGGAGTTACGCGTTTGTGTCAGAACTATACATATTCATAGACTAAGCGTTAGTCTAAATGATTGTTGTAATTTAAAATGGCAGCCTTGTACCAGCAAGCAATCGGTATATTTTATGGAATGGAAAGATTGCTAAAACAAACTGAAAATGATTATTTCTAGAGTGTTTAAATGATATGCGTCCTACGTCCATCAGATGCTACCCGTTGTACCAGGGGCGACACGGTCGATTCCACGCGTAGGTACAGTGAAGCCCATTTCTGGTGTCACCCGCCATGACATTGCTGGAATATTGCTAAATACGGCGTAAAATCACCCGATACAAAAGAATCGTGCAGCGATAACATAACATCATAATCATATTTAGGCGGACATGTTTCAAGTGGTGAAATTCACACTTGACTCAAACCAGATTACAGCTATATTACACTGGATAATCACATTGCGTTCTAAACATCTGTTGCAAAGAATCCCAAATATCAGTTGCAGCAGCTGCAAGTCATAATACAGATCAGTAACATGAGTAGGCACAGATTGTGTCAACAGTTCATATTTTCAGCAAGTATCATCTGTGACGGCAGGGTTTCGGGGGAGTGTAGGTGTCTTGAAAAAAGCAAACTAAATGTCGATGGTTGGAAACTCGTAAACCCGCACAGCCCTCTGCTGTTTTTGAAAACAATAATTTGATAAAGAAAATACCTGCATAAAATGTTTTTGGACTCGTTTGACAAGAGCATTGTTCAATGTGCATGCTTTGTGCCCGAAAAAAAACGTGCTTTGAACCAAATATTTGTTGGGTTAATACATTTTAGGTTTTCAGTTAAATATATATTAATGATCTCATTTAATCTTGTTATTTGGAGTTTAAAAGTTTTGTTTGTGTACATTCCAATCGACTCCAGGTAGTTTTAAAATGTTGAATTTCATTCTTCGTTTCGGTTTCAGGATATGTTCGTGGAGTTTGATAAAGATGGTGACCGTAGAGTGACTAAGGCTGAATTTTTGGGTGCTTTGAACAAGCTGCCCCCATCACGACTTGAGTAAGGAAATATTTAAACCTGTTGGCTCCTTGTTGTTTATAAGTGTAATTATAAGTGTAAGGACAGATTTTTCACGTCATATCCACGACCGTGAAGGTCTGGGTTAGAATTGATCTTCAGTAACCCATGCTTGTCGTAAGAGGCGACTTACGGGATCGCAGGGCTCCAGATAAGGACCGTATCGGCGTATGTACGGATATAAAATAAGCGCGATACGGTAGGAAATAATTTAGAAAACGTAACAGATACGCACCATAGCAATGGTGTACGGTCTTAGAATCACCTACAGATGTATTTATCTGAAAAAAGTATTATTTTATTGTGTACTGACCTGTTTACACAAGAGTAGCAATGTTGTGGTGCATATATGAAACGATACACAAGATTACTGATACTCCATTAAATTCCATTCAGTACTCTAAATGTACTTATTGTTTTCCAGTACTCCTATATTGAAAAATACGGAGTACGTACTCCTGATCATGAAACATTATCTGGAGCCCTGGGATCGGGTGGTCAGGTTCGCTGACTTGGTTGACACACATCATCATATCCCAATTGCACAGATCGATGTTCATGCTCTTGATCACTGGATTGTCTGGACCAGGCTCGATTACTTACAGACTGCTGCCATATAGCTGGAATATTGCTGAGTGTGGCGTAGAACGAAACTCACTCACTCCACGAATTACCATGCTTGTTTAAGGAGGAGATTATGTAAAATCGAAAATCCGGACCCTGGACTAATCCACCTAGGACAGATAGAGTCATAAGACACACATACACACACACACACACACACACACACACACACACACACACACACGTATGCGTGTATTTCCTGTTCTGTTGACTATCACAATGTACAGCTGAGTTGATCATTGATCCAGCGAATATCTGACATTTCAAGGCGTTCAGTAATATAACCGTGACCGTTTCTTTGTCATGTTTCCAGTGAGGCCAAACTACGGAAAGCATTCAAGGATATTGACAAAGACGGCAGTGGGACCCTTGATGCCGGTGAAATAAAGAAAGCTTTGAGTTCATGCGGCACAAAAATAAGTGATGCCACTGCACAGGTAGGAAATAAAATCATTTTCAAGTATATTTACTTTCTTCCAATGGTGTGAAGAAGTTGTATTTTGAAACTCACGGTTGTTCCAGTGTATTATAGGCCTTACGGGTACCCATGCTTAACGTAAGAGCTGGCTAATGAGGATTGGGTGGTTACATTGTCCTACGTTGACTTTGGTCATGCTGATGACCACTGATTGGTCTTGCCAGGACTTGATTAAATTCAGGCTAGCGTAATACAGCTTGCGTTTTGCTTCTGTCGCGTTACACAACTTCCAATTGCAATATGGGGGCTGTGGGGTAGCCTAGTGGTTAAAGCGTTCGCCCGTCACGCAACACCCGGCTAAAAACGACATAAAACAAACTCACTCACTCATTCCAACTGCAATAAGTATATATATGTGTGTTCGGTTTGATATATTTTATGGTGATTGACAACCATTTATATTTCATAATAATACCAGTAAATATAGAATCCAGTTGAGATCATTAACAATAGGCTGACGTGAAAAGTGAAACAGAAGGCATCCTGTTTGCTGCACAGGACCGGTCAATTCTAATCATTAAAATGTTAAATATTAAATGAATTTTATACAATGAATTTAATGAACCCGTTCCCTGTCACTGGATTCCAGCGTTTCCACAAACACTGTATATTGTTAGCGATATGTTGGCGAGGCTCAATCCTCAATCTCGGTCATGCTTCTTGTTTTGGCTCTGAGGAACATCAATGGTACGATCCCAATATGTTGAGGCTGTCATGGAAAATGATAATTATAAAATTCTTTGGAAGGAGCACATATTCAATCTCAGACACGCCCAGGACAATAAACACGACCTTGGCGTTTTTGATAACTCCAATGAAATCGTTTATATCAATGAGTTTTCTGTCCCTTTTGACCCCAATGTGATTGACCTTGTTCTTAGTTGTCCGACTCGCCATTGTTCTTGATTCCTGTTTTGGTACTTCCTAATCTGTTCACTGACACTGGGGAAGTACCTGGGTTTGCAGCTTTTCTGACACTCTCGGTAATACAAGAGTAAAGGGGAGCATGGGCCGTGAACTGATGATGAGCTTAGCCAGCCCCACCAGCCTGATAGTCTGTCTCACAGTCTCATTTTGCCTTCCGCCCAGCCCTTTCAGCAATGCTAAATCCCGAAATGAGCAAGTCTGGATTTCCTCAGGTTACATTCTCCCATCTCACTGGGGCTCCTTTTCAATTAAAATGGAATTATTTGTTTATATCAAAATTATATGTATAAGCGTTAGTCTAATATCACCCAAACCATCTTTGTTGTATTTGTTTATTTTAATCTGTATAATAGCAATAATTGTAATAATATTATTTTGACTTTTTTTCAGCGTATTATCAAAGAGGTTGACCGCGACGGCGATGGCAAAGTCAACGTGAACGAGTTCCTCGCCCTTTTCCGTAGTCAGTCTTAGCCACGCACCTGCCCCTCGCTCAATGGCAGCTTGTGCTTCAGTAGGTTTTCAATGTACAATTCAGTCAGTTTCATAAGCATAGTGTTTTCGCTTGTCAATCTCGAAAGTATATGTTTTAAGTCGATGTTTTGCTGCCAGTGGGATCATACATCGCAGCAATATTTACCCTTGTGGTTAAAGTGTTTGCCTGTCACGCAGAAAACTCGAGTTCGATTCTCCACGTGGGTGAAACGTGTGAAGCTCAATTAAGGTATTGATCTGACTATCATAACACAGTATTTAATGCTAAAACCAGCGTAAAATTCTCTCCCAAATGTGAAATATATCACCTATTTTCACCTGTTTCGCTTATGCTTGTACAGAGGTTATGTTGGGCATGTGTTTCGGGTGAGTAAAATTAATATCCTGTATTATGAACAATCATAGGATTTAGCGAGCCTCAACTAGTAAACGTAATAATCTCATTTATCTTACATGTGACTTCATTCATTATTTCTGTTGGCGAAGGGGTTATCTTTATCTTTCATAAACTGTACCTAAAAACTGCATTTGTTCCCTGGAACGGGAGCTTTAACATATTACATCACAAGGCCGTCACAAACCAGTTTTCTGGTGTCCCCCGCCATATTTTGCTGGAATATCGCTCACCCCTACAGAATCTATGGCATTCTTGATCTGAATACACTGCCGGGATATGTTTGAAGAAAGTGGAACAGGCGACTGATCCATCTCTTTCAGCAACTGTCAATTGTCTATGTAAGTCTGTTTGTGTAATATTTTTTGACAAGTTAAGAAACTGTTTGTGCTTCATCTTCACTTTGTATTACAGAAATGAACAAAAAATAAACAGCATTAAGTTGTTGGTGTTCGTTGTGAATGTTCTCTGTGCAGAGTTGCCTCCCTTACACGTCGTCTGCATCTGTGACCTTTAATTCCAGTCCCGCCATGCTGTGAACATTTCTAGGTTTTTCAGTGCCCTCTGCTTGTGATTGTAACAAAGTCGTCAACCAGGCCCCCGTCTTCAACGCGAATTTAGCGCTAGATTGATCGTATCTCCGTTACTTTAACATAGACTTACGACAGTCGTAGCGCTACTACCGCTCAGGGCCCCGTTTCACAACGCTCTCGTAAGCCTAAGATCTCGTAACTTTTCTCGTAGCATTAGTACCTCATATGTTACACTTTAGGAGGCACGAATGCTACGAGAAAAGCTTTGTGAAACGGGGCCCCTGATCGACACGTAAGCTTCTCCATCACTTCGGGCGTACAGCTATTCGCAAACATTCACAGACGACTCATAGAAACCGTTTAACCCATATCCGTGTCCGCTATAAATCAGATAACAGCTGGCTGCGTATATGTAGAGATTATTACACGAGCAAGTGTGCCATACGACTTGTGAAATTTTGTATTGCCCAAGCGAGAGCCAGGGCTATTATATACATAATTTTGCACGAGTTTCGTATGAGTCATATAATGCATTTGCTGCAGTGTACAGAGGTGGATACAGCTTTTGAGAGAGGGGGGAGCGGAGTCATACTCTTGAGAAATGGGGGTGTGCACACTTAATTTTCACGAGAGTTACAATGGTCATTTAATAAACATTCAGGACAAGGGGGATGGGGGACACCCCTGACCCCCACCCCCTCTGGATCCACCTATTTTTTTAATTATCTATTTTATTCATGTACATTTGAGCAATTAATCCAGTAAAACAGGGTAAGCAAGTGTGACGGCCCTCTTCATAGACATCAGTGTCACTTCACGTTCAATTGTTTGTTCACGTCACAGACCACGACATACAGAAACAATGGTTGCTAGGCAAAAGTGATATACATGTGCACATATGATATATATGACACTGGTTATGTTTCACCATATGGGTAATAAGCATAAATATACACATTGGTAGGTCGGTGTTCGATACTGCATGTGTGTATTGCATTATTCTTTACTGGAGATTCGACTAGTCGGGACATGGGCCCCTTTTACAAAGCGCAACAACGACCATAACTCCCAATATCTGACACAGACTAGCGAGCAGGGCAACGCTTAGTCTGTCTCACAGTCCCTGAACCACATTATTTTCCCTACTGCCAAGCCCTCTCTGCAGTGCTAAAGCTCTAAATAAAGCAAGTCTAGATTTCCTCAGGTTCTGAATCTCTGGTCTCCCTAGGGCTCCTTTTCAATATAAATGGGCTTGTTTGTTACTATCAAAATTATATATATTCAGAGACTAAGCCTTAGTCTAGGCAACGCTAAGACGGAGTCGTGGAATAGGACCCAGATGTTGTCATTGCAAACATAGCATTATCATAAAGCACGCACACACACACAAGTTGAGGACAAAGACGGCCCTTTCAGTTTCGTAAACAAACATCGACGCCCGAGGTTCCTGCATGCTCATAGCCTGCATCATTATAACATCGCTGCATTGAGGCGCTAGAACAGTCGCGCTACCATCTTCTACCGGGTACCCATTCACTGGTAGGTGAACAAAGGCAGTTTACAATAAATTAAGTCACTTGTCGAAGGTGCTCATGCTGTTGATCACTGGATTGTCTGGACCAGACTCGATTATTTACAGACCGCCGCCATATATCTGGAATATTGCTTAATGCGGCGTTAAACAACAAACAAACCAACTTGCCGAAGGAGATACCTTGGAATATGTTTCAGTGTAGGCGGGACTGAAGCCCAAGAAACATTTGAGAGTCAAGCTTCCTATCTATCCGTGGGATCCGAGGTAGAATTGGTCTTCAGGAACCCATGCTTGTTATAGCAGGCGACTAACGGGATCAGGTGGTGAGTCTCGCTGACTTGGTTGACACGTCACCATATCCCAACTGCGTAGATCGATGCTCATGCTGTTGATCACTGGATTGTCTGGTCCAGGCTCTAATAATTGCAGATTGTCACCATGTAGCTGGAAATTGTCGGGTGCCCTTAGGCCCGTGGCAGGTAGATCATGTGTACGACCCGCAATTTCGGTGTATGGGTCCCTATGTCAAGCAGTGAATGTATGTGTCGAGATATATGTCACAATACACTGCATTTGTAATACCTGAGTTCAGTCAGAGCCTATTCAGCTTCTAAAGCTTCTGCAGGTCCCTTGTGCGGCAACCTGACATATTTCTTTTATTTGAAATCCTGCTCCGCAACGAATCTGAAATCTATATTATGTTCCCATACAATGCCTCTCTGTTGACGGGGTGGTGTCGGGTGAACTGTTTAGTCAGAAAATCATCGTGGGGGCTTTCAGTTTCTCCTCAGGAAAGAACAAGTCATTCTGACGATCGTTTAGGTATTTGGAGTCTCGAAAATCGAGATAGAATCATAAAGGATGCGCCATTGTAGATATTTTCTACACTCGTGTATAGAGTGTACCACAGACGTAAGTTCAGTCACGCGACAAGCTGTGCTTTCCTTTGATGAAATTAAATTTTCGAATGCAGGTGGTAAGGAAATGAAACTGGTTTGTTTTAGAAAGCTGACGCCTGAATAGACTGCGGTCACGTCAGCCCAAGATTCATCGGTCAACGCGACTGGAAGTGACGTCAGATCTTCTCGTGGAAATACACTGGCTCAGAGTAATACATCTGAACATAATGAGATTGTTGATCTGCCAGTCAGTTACACCGTGACGTGTCTGCGTTCTGGTCTTTGTGAAAAGACCGGAAATTCCTGTGTGAACGTGCTTTGCAACTACACCAACTACTTTCTGTTCCATACCGTGATGTCATTAAACGCATGATGACAGTATGAGTCACTACGAAAACGCCATGTAGACGTTATCTCATCTCTATGGACCGCCTTGCGATGTTGTGTTTCCAGGTGTCTACACAAAATGATGCAGACTCAAGTCGAGATTATGAAAATGCATCTGAGTACATTCAACTTTTTATTCAAATGCAAAGACAGTAGGAAAGCAAAACAACAACAAAAAATTTGGATCGAGGTTGCCAAATTATTCGCTGTTAAAGTTTAAAGAAGATAGTTTTCATTTTAATGACGAGCATATTTCGTTCTGTAAAAACTCGAGTCCGGGCCAAACAATCCTGTGATCAACAGCATCAGCATTGATCTACGTAATGGGGACACGACATCCTGTCAACCAAGTCAGCGAGCTTAACCACCCGATCCCGTTAAGAGAAGCACGGGTTACTGAAGACCAGTTCCAACCCGGATCTTCACGGGTGAGTTAGGCTATGGATAGTGGGCGGGTTGGGCTTTCGTCGCCCCTTCGAACAGTATTCCAGTCACACACGGCGTGTTAGATTAATGTGGGAGAAAAACCCGAAGTAATGCAGATCTCGGATGTTCACTGCTGGGGTGAAACAAGGTCTCCCAGAGCCTGGACAATATAAAGTCTAAAATGATTTGAGAAGTTTGAATTAAGTGAGTTTAGCATTATTCTGGGATCCATTTAGTATTATTTCTTTAATTTATTTGTAAGAAATTAAATATATAGGTTCATATTTTTAAATAAGATTCCTTTGTTTCTGTTATCAGTCTAAAACACGCAAGCACGTGATGACAAAAGTAAAAAGAAACATGATCGGATCCGAACATATCATCACAGGTTTCTAGCGTGCCCAAGGACAACTACCCGAGGCAAATGTGTCCATTAGCCTCTATCAAAGTCCAGTTTTCACAAGTCTTGATATTGACAAGTTGGTATTGTTGCCTTGGGAAGATGGTTCAAGGGACACAACTCTGTACCACCCTCGCCCCACGTTTTTGATAGAATTTCGTAGGTATTGCAAGATGTTGGAAATGTATGGAATTCTGTAAGGGACAGTATTTTGTATAAATACCATTGACACAGTGTGTGTTTCCACAAAGCGGTAGAGTGATTAAGTGATTTATCAAATATTTCACCTTTGCCACTGCTGTCTGAACCAGTCAAGCCAATGACTGAAAGCATGAATGAGTGAGTTTAGTTTTACGCCGCACTCAGCAATATTCCAGCTATATATATGGCGGCGGTATGTACATAATCGGCACTGGACCAGACAAATCAGTTTCTCCTCGGGAACGAGGCATTCTTACAATCGTTTAGGTATTCGCTGCGCCATTGTAGATATTTCATACACTCGTGGAGTGTACGCTCAAACATAAGTTCAGTCACGTGACAAGTTGTGCTTGCCTTTGATGAAATTAAATGTCCAAATGCAGGTGGTAAGGAAACGAAACCGGATTGTTTTAGAAAGCTGACGCCTGATTATAGACTGCGGTCATGTTAGCCCAAGATTCATCGGTCAACGCGACCTTCTATACGGAAGTGACGTCAGATGTTCTCATGGAAATACACTGGCTCAGAGTAATGCATCTGAACATAATGAGATTGTTGATCTGCCAGTCAGTTACACGGTGACGTGTCTGCGTTCTGGTCTTTGTGAAAAGACCGGAAATTCCTGTGTGAACGTGATTTGCGACTACGCCAACTACTTTCCATACCGTGATGTCATTAAACGCATGATGGTAGTATGAGTCACTACGATAACGCTATGTGCACGTTATCTCATCTCTATGGACCGTCTTGCGATGTTGTGTTTCTAGGTGTCTACACAAACTGATGCAGACAAGTCGAGGTTATGAAAATGCATCTGAGTACATTCAACTTTTTATTCAAATGCAAAGAAAGGAGAAAAGCAAAAGATAAACCTGTTTGGATCAAGGTTGCCAATTTTTTTCGCCGTTAAAGTGTATAGAAAATAGTTTTCATTTTAATGACGAACATATTTCGTTTCTTGGACTGTATACCTATTGGTTATGTTTGCTTGTTTGTTGTTTAACGCCGCACTCAGCAATATTCCAGCTATATGTCGGCAGTAAATAATCGAGTCCGGACCAGACAATCCAGTGATCAACACCATGAGGATTGATCTACGCAATGGGGATACAGTGACATGTATCAACCAAGTCAGCTAGCCTGACCACCCGATCCCGTTAGTCGCCTCTTACAACAAGCATGGGTTACTGAAGATAGTTCCAGCCCGGATCTTCATGGGTGAGTTAGACTATGGATCGTGGGCTGGTTGGGCTTTCATCGCTGCTTAGAGCAGTATTCCAGTCACAAACGGCGTGTCAGATTAATCTGGGAGGAAAACCCGAAGTAATGCAGATCTCAGACGTTCACTGCTGGGGTGAAACCCACGTAGTCAGCCAGGGCCTAGACAATAAAGTAAAAAGAAGTGTAAAATGAATTGACACTTTTAGATTAACTGAATTAAGCATTATTCTGGGATCTATTTAGTATTATTTCTTCCTTTTCTATATAATAAATTAGATATTAAATATATAGGTGCATGTTTTTCAACGAGATGACTTTGTTTCTGTTATCAGTCTAAAACACGCGAGCACAGGTAGGCCTTAGATACATGATGACAAAAGTAAAAAGAAACATGTTCGGGACGAACGGGATCGGAACCTATGATCATAGGTTTCTGGCGTACCCAAGGACAACTACCCGAGCCGGGTGTGCCCACTAGCCTCTATCAAAGTCCAGTTTTCACAAGTCTTGATACATTCGTGACCAACTCGTGTTATTCCAGGACAAGCCTTCTTGGAGGTTACGGAAAGGGGCGAGTGGTGACGAATGGTCTTGATATTGACAAGTTGGTATTCTTGCCTCGGGGAGATGGTTCAAGGGAGGCAACTCTGAACCCCCCATTGTCCCACGTTTTTGAATTTCGTAGGTATTGCAAGATGTTGGAAATGTATGGAATTCTGTAAGGGACTGTATTCTGTATAAATACCTTTGACACAATGTGTGTTTCCACAAAGCAGCAGAGTGAGTAAGTGATTTGTCAAATGTTTCATTTTTTGTCCCTGCTGTCTGAGCAAGACAAGCCAATGACCAGCCCAATTTTTTCGTGTAAACCCGATAGGTTGCCAAACTTTATGTTTAGATAGTAATGAGGGCGAGCCCAAACATTTTAGGAACAATCATGTGTAAGCATTCTTTTTATAATGGTAGCTATACCAATGATGACTGAAAGCATGATTGAGTGAGTTTGGTTTAACGCCGCACTCAGCAATATTCCAGCTCTATGGCGGCGGTCTGTAAGTAATCGAGTCTGGACCAAACAATCCAGTGATCAACCGCATGAACATGGATATACGCAATGACTAAAGACCACAATGAAGTTAATGTTTTGCTATGGGGGATTCAAGGGGTTCGAACCCAAACCACCCCTCACCCCCTTTTGAAAATTCCTGGATCCGCCTATGGTCACACACTCAAATACTCACATAAAATATATCGATATCATCACTTTATTTATACTCAGTGTGCAAACTGTTCACAGCTGTAAATTCAGAAAGTGGTGAACTCGTTAATTAAGCCATGAGTTAGAACTCACTAAAGTGGTGAACTCGTCATGAGCTGACACGACCCCCATACTGTCAAAACAATGCCAGTTGGCGTTAATTACTTCATAGGACACCGGCAAGTCGGCCTGGCGCACCCCTCTGCATGTCTATTTGGGTCGGTGTCCACCCGGACTGTCGAAAATTGAAATTTTATAAATTCAGTGTTTCGGGTATTACGTAAGGAGGTAATTAGGCGTTAACACTATGGCGTTCGACGCTCCGGGCATTAAGGAAAACCAAATACGTTGTACAGTACATTCTTTATTGTGGCCACTTTGTTATACGGGCATGCACTAGCATATGGCTCCTTTTTTGTCGAACTTTTAGGTGGAACTATTGTATTATTGGGGGTTTTTGCTAGATTGTTTGGTATAATTTTGCATGAATGAGATATTTAATGAATGGTTTAATTAATTTTGGGTTTGTTAGAATGTGCTTGGAATTGGTGTTTGTGCCATATCTTGAAATATTTCGCAGCCATTGAGTAATTTAGATTTGATGAGTGATTTATATAGTAGTAGTAATGTTTTTTTTTTGCTCCCCCATTTACTATGTGATAGGTATTTAATAATGTTGAGATCTGATTAGCATTTTTCTTGTATGAATTGAGTGTGTTTGTTCCACGTTAAGTGCTGGTTTTCATTAACCCATATTGCTCCATCGTCGGCAAACTGGGATTCGTTTATATTTTTACTGAGGTTGTTGAATATATCATCAGATTTGATGGTCTATGGAGACCTAAAAGTCTCTCTCTGTTAGAAAGGCTGATGCAAAATTTAGAAGTGCCCCTTTTAGACCTTTTTTTGCGAAAGCCTGATTGAGTTGTATTATATACATGTTGTGTTTCAAGATATTGTGTGAGGCGCTTGTTAACCATACCCTCCATGGTTTTGTGACAAATCTAGGTAACTCAAACTCTTTCTCGTTTCAACAATTATAGTATTCATGTCTTCTCCCTCGTTAATTAGAGGAGAGTGGATTAGCGCAGTCTTTCTGCTATTCGCAGGTTCATGTTCTCCAAGGCAGTTGACTCTCCGGGTGTTATTAAGGTGTCGGCCCGGGAAAGCGAAATTTCAATATTCCCTATTCCAGGTAAAGCGAAAACCAAAGTTGTGCTAGAAGTGCCGCGAAAGCGAATTGCTATGTAAACATCGGATTACCGTACTTTCGATTAGCGCGCGACCCCAATACTCGATCTGTTAGCCTGAAATGAAGTTTCAGTTGTTTCAAGTTTCAGCACTTGATCTTTGACAAGTTTAAGCATCGGTGTAGGAAAACCCTCCGAGAAAAGAAGTATTGGAGCTGTGTAGTAAAATGTGTTTGTTGTTTGACTTACTGGTATTTGACTATTCTATTTAATCCACCGTGCAAAGACGGTTGTTCGAGCAGATCTCACTAATTCTCAGTTAACTGGGACAATTGCTGTCGCCGACATTTTGGCTGTCGGTGCTTTTAAATTTGATATTAAATCTAGGTGCATCTGTGCAGGTATGCTAAATAACACTAAATTTACAATAAGTATCAACCTTCATTAAGACTGCAGAAGTTATACTGCAGCGTCAGAAGCAAACATCTGGTTCCATGACGGCATCTTTGCTATGTCGGTAGTGCGTATTCTTTGCATTTAAGCTTGCTGCAAAATGTTATCCAACGGAAGTTTTTTTATATTTAGTGACATGAACGAACCAACATACATACGGGTTAATTCGCCCATGTTAGCATGTCGATGGTTCCCCAACCAAAACCCCAAACCCACGTTTAGATTATGTCGGTAGAGTCAGAGTAATTTACGTTACGTTGTGTTTGTTTACAGCTTTTCTTGTGGTAAATCATCGCACAGACCCACAATATAATTTTTCTTGATTGGCCTGTTCATCTATTCTCGATATCTAAAACATATAGTTTCGTTAACATTGATTTTTCTTACAATATGGAAAAATATGCTCGACAGCAGTAGAGATTTTTTAAGCAAGTAATCATACGTTCCCGTTATAACTAAAAATCTAGCATCCCAGTAATAGTCTTTCATCACTGTACATTTGGGGCAGGGCGGTCTGTTATACATTTGCCCCAACCAAGCATTCTGTATTTATTCATCTTGCCATAACATTATTCATTACCAGAACTAATTTACGTTACCGCCATATTTGGAAAGTTTTGTGTTTTGTTGTGTGGTATTGCCGAAATATCAATGTGAATCAAACTTTGACAAGTGAAAGTAGTTTTAGGTTGTTATCGCTCCTATATATATAAGTAACGTAAAGTACATTGCGGTAACGTAAATTACGTCAATGAATGCTTAACGATGTAAGTTGTCTATGCACGATATTTTCAATTCCACCTCCACATGATCCATCCATGTGACTTATCGGTGAACAGTCTGTGGCTCAAACATTAATTGTTATTTATATATTAAATTTCTACCATGACTACGGTATCAGACGACGACTCACATTTCTTTATTTTTCTTGTGTATTGAGAGGCCCGGGAACGCGAAATTCAGTGTTAACTGTTCCCGCGAAAGCGAAAGCTAAATTGAGGAGGTTTAGTCTAGATTTCGCTTTCCCGGGCCATAACCGTTATTATAGCAGTGTTGAGCATTGCCACACTCCACTGCTTTTCGACAGTCCGGGTGTGTATTCGATAAAACATTCGACAGTCCGGGTGTGAACCTGTGGTTCAAATGTCTGCCTGGCGGGACACACACACACACACACACACACACACACACACACACACACACACACACACACACACACACACACACACACACACACACACACACACACACACACACACACACACACACACACACACACACACACACACACACCTCCCTAAAATACCTTGCAGTGGGTTTATTTTTCCAAACTAAAGCTGTACATAACACCAGTCACAATATTCACACTAATGTCCATTGCTTCCAGAAAAGACATTCCATATATAAAATACCAGCTGTTGACGCTACCATTTTGAAGCAAGTGGTGTAAAATCTCTTATAATACATAAACAAGGCATATAATGAATGCCCCTGTTATCGTCATTTGTCCAGAATATTTTCAATACAAATTGACGGACGAAAGTCTTGACATGAAACCAAGGCTGCTGGTTCAAAAGAGGGTTATGCTTTCAAACAGTGTTAGCCTGGTTTCCAGACGTGCATAAAACCAGAGAGAATAGAAGACGCTGTAGATTTTCCCTGATAAGACTGAAAAAGAAGTGTTCAAATTTGCGAACCGAATGATAAATGAATCATGATGGACATAATATTATTGCCTATTATTGTATGTTTTCATGAAACAGATCAAGGCTGTGTAGACTTTCAATTGACCTTTTATTTGTTGGAAAAATATATAAAAATCAAGCTATTTTGAATGATTCTCCCTGAAAGGTGACGGATGATCATTTGCGCATTGTCACGTACTGTGGCGGAGTTTGAAGACACCACTGTCGGGAGCTTTATGGGGATCCCGGCACTACTTCCGGTTCAAGATGCCCATCATGGCGGAGCAGGTAGTTTTGTTTAGTCATGTTATTTTGTCATAATTGAAACTTCAGATGCTCGTTTTGATGTTTTGTTCAGTTTTATTGGACATACGTATTCAACCTTCACTTTCGAATGAATTCTAGTTAATAGAATGATGAAATATGGGCTAACTTGACCCTCGGACCCTTCTGAGATGGGAAACGCTGTGCTTTGAATTGAAAATCAAACAATATATTGTTTAGCTTTTCAGAGGTAAAGACACTGATACTTGGCTGGCCACGAACGCAGTTATGAAATCTATAGTTGCTGTACACTCTTTAGTCTTGAAAATATGTTGTACCAAGTTTTCTCATCACCTACTCAAACATATATACGTTTTGTCACCTGTTTTCGTGAGAGACGCTCTTTGTCGTGTTCTCAGATACGCTTTATTTCGCATCATACACAACATAAAGTGACCATGTTTGCCTTTGTAAAACACACCTTGTAGTAAGAGTGGAAAAAATCAACTTTCAAACACATCCTGACACTACAGTAGACAAACATGTTAAACATGTCATAAGAAAAACCAATTTTCCTAAACAACATAATTTCATAAGTTATTAAGTTTCATGAACAGCGCAGTTTCTATATCTCCCTTATTTTGGTGGTTAAGTCTCCAAAGGATAATTTATAAAACAATGCAAAATGTCATATCCATTCTTTTTTATCTTTATTTTTGTTTTAAAATGCTTAGACACTAATGACTTGCTCTTATGATGTTTGTTAGTTTTTAACATGATAAGGATTCTTGGAATGTGAGAACCCTAACCAAAGCTTGAATAAAGTTGTAAACATCTGTGATTGATGATTGTTTACAATTTTGACATGACAGTCGTTTAAAATCAATCAAATGGTTGGTTATTACCCAGGTTATCAGTTTGTTCCAGCTGAATATCAACTGATTTAAACACAGGTTAGTGATCATTTATCAACCACCACTGATCAGTGACCCTGAAGATAATCCTTGTGGCATAAAATACATGTATGACTATAATTATTTGCCTTTTGCAGAGGATGGATGTTGACGTAGCTACTAACCATGAAGGGATCAAACAGTACTACGTCAGTAAAATTGAAGAGCTGCAAGTAAGTATTCAACCTTTTTGCAGTAATTTGCCTGGTACAAATCCTTGGTGGCATTTTGTTGTAAACATCGTGAAGTCTTTCCATAACAGCTGGAATCTTCTGTTGGTCGGTCAAGCTTAAATATGTGTAAATGGATAATAGAATGCATTTAGAAGGGCATGCATAAGAAAAGCAAAATTTATGAATGTCAACTTCTTTATTGCGAATAACAGTATTAACACAAAGTTCCGGAGTGTATCTTAGTTCAAAAGAAGACACCTGATGAAAAAGCAAGCATATACTCCAAAACGTTGTGTTATTCACAATAAAGAAGATGACATCCCTAAATCTTGCTTTTCTTACCAACAGTAGTTAATAAAACCAATAAAACAAACAATGTGCTGCTTGCACATGTTTTCAAAATGAACTGGAAGGGCTAAATTAAAAATATAAAGGTTCCTCTTAGTTCAAAAGAAGACAACAGAACAGTGTTTGTGTTTGTTATACCCAGCAGAATCATGATAGAACTATGAAAATGTGGAATTAATATCGGTTCCTATTTTGGATCAGATGGTGAGGCACAGTGACTAGTTTGATTACATGTCATTGTACCCTAGTGGAGTGGGAGATTTCTCAGTCATAGTATATAATAACTCACACAAGGCTGGTTTGTTGATAGTCTTTACAAACTGAAGTGATGTAGTGGGAATTATGTTGATTGTAAAACTAAACTACACAATTTGTGACCTAGCATCACTTCTATCGACCACTGGTCCATTCGTGTTGTCTGGTTCAGACTTGATTATTTGTCACATGTTATAAGTTGTTCACCGGGTCTCTTGGGGGGCATGGGTTGATGTACCCTCGAACATAAACAAACATCGAGGTTACATCAACCCATGGGCCCTGAGGGACAAGTGAACAACGTATTTATCTTACCGAACACCTCAATGTTAATTTTGAATTATTTGAGCCGCGGGTACAAATAATTTTGTAGCCATCGCTAGATTTTGCTGACAAGAAAAACAGATTTAGAGTTATCTCCCTTCCATCGATTTGCATTCGCAAAACATCGGTAATTTCCGTACATCATACCTGATTCAATGTTATTCGAGATAAAGAATTACTACCACGAAGTACCAAATGAGTTGCCATTGACAGCGGGGTACATTGAAATGTTATTCGCTTGTAAGTGGGGTACATTGAAAATAATAGAAGAGCGCGCTCAGCCAATCAGAAAGTGACATTTATGTGTGAGGTAAGATATGGAGATATGTACCATATTGAACACTGCTGTTGACTCTGATCAATGAACTCTGTATCCCTATCACAACATTTTAAATACAAGATGCATGGTGAGGATTTCTATTGTACTTATCTAGAGTAGAACTGTTGCTCGACTCACCCCAAATATAAAGATGTGAGATGACCTTCATGAATCATTGAAAGTGGTAATGCTGAACTGCAGAATGTTATCTTGTCTGAGCTTATGAATGCTTCAAGTTTGTCAATATATACTGCCCATCAAAAGTTTAGACTCTCTCGTGTAAATGTAGCCACTTACTTCAGTCAACTGTTCCAAACTAGATTTTGCAAAATATTCCATACTGTTTCAAGGTACTGTTTACACATGAATTGATGTCTTGTAAAACATATTCGTAATGTTGGAAAGATTATTGTCATGAGTTCAAAAATGATGAAACTCAGTGAAAATTCGAGTATTCTTAACAAAACGCAGCTGTTCACATGCACGATATTTGCAGATGCTTTTCAGCTATTTGATGCATGATCCTCATGCAGTTCATCTGCTTAAGGTTTGCAGTTGGTTTTCCCCAGAGGTAGTGGAGAAATTCATATTCGATGTAACCATATATATACATATATACATAACATATAGTGTGTGTTTAAGTGAGTCTAAACTTGTGATGGGTAGTATATATAAAATTGTTTTAAAAAGTAAACAAAAATGTTTATTTTCAGCTTGTTGTGACTGAAAAGACCCAGAACTTACGACGATTAGAAGCTCAGAGAAATGAATTGAATGCAAAAGGTAAGAGGCAGGATATTAACCATCCCAAAACACACGAGTGTGATAACCTATTAATCATACAATGTCATTCTTACTTTATAATTTTTAAAAATATGCGATTTCAATGGTCACAAATCATGCAGCTAAACTTCATGGAATGTGCTTAGATAGCTATGATGTCACAAATATGCACGTAGTAATACATTACGTCACAAGCCGGTGACACAAGTTTCTTCTGATCACTCAATTGAATGCATTAGGTCATCTAGTTCTCAGTAAGTTTTTGTTTTAAAGCACATATTGTTGTCAACAAATCTTAGCTTACATGTGAAAAATAACAACAAATTTGTGTGGAACTTCAGAAACCTTCAGTTAACCTTTTGAACAGCAAATACACTTAAATGTCTGCGTGACATTCTGCACCTGGATTCCTGTGACGTCTACTTGCTAACACTGACTGAGTTTGGTTTTATGCCGCTTTTAGCAATATTCAAGCAACATCACGGCGGGGGACACCAGAAATAGGCTTCACACATTGTACCCATATGGGGATTCGAACCCAGGTCTTCGGCGTGGCGAGCTAATGCTTTAACCACTAGGCTACCCAACCGCCTACTACTCGCTAACACTGAATATCGGTTGGGGAGCTGGTGTTGGTAGCTTAGTAAGCCTATGAATTTCTATCTTCGCTTCATAATCCACTCCATCTATCATAACCAGACTGAGTACCACGTCCGTCAGTCCTGACACGATCGCCGACACGTTTGTTTACACTGTGAAAGTAGTCCCTAAAATTTGCATATGACCTCTCTAATTTGCATCGATATCCGCATATGACCCTAACAGATACCAAACATATCAGTTGGCTTTATCCTGTCGAGAACTCTATCCATTGTATGATAAATCAGGCCAAATAAAAAAAATGTTGTGGTTACGATTACCCCCTAAAATTTAGGGTAGGTAGGTAGGATTCTAAAAAAAAAAAAATCATTTTATTTAGACTGACTGACTGAGTTTAGTTTTACGCCGCTTTTAGCAATATTCCAGCAATATCACGGCGGTCATTTCATTTAGAAGTAAAGAACAAACTAATAACACATTGATCAATGTGTAATTGTTTATTCAATCAAGCTTGCGGCCATCATGTCGACTTTTTCTATCAGAATGACACTGACAGATCTCCGTTTGTGCCGGGGGAAAACAATGGTATCTGAAATAGGGTTGACTCCAGAATTCAAGGGTCGGTCGGGTAATCGGAACCACAACATTTTTTTTAGGCCTCAAATTATCAATCAATGGATTGTTTGGTTCGGACTTGATTACAAACATGCACACACTCACACAGACTCATACCTACCTCTTTCATATATGGACCATTGTCATGTTTGGTAGTGACATTTCTTGCAACACAAAAGGAGTTAATAACATTTGACATACCAGTTCAGTTAACATGGTTAATCATGTTGTCATGGTTATCTATAGTTTTATGAAAACATCTTGTGTTCTATATCATTTTTTCAGTAGCGTATAGCTATCTCTCTTAAATCAATAATTTCTCTCCAGACGTTCGTTACACATCAGTGTAAATGTGGTAGTTATAGTGTCATCCAAGGAAAGGGACTTGATCATGTTGATCTGTCTGTATTATATTTATGATAACCTAAGCCTTTCAACTTCAACTTTCAGATTTACTAACACCATCATTTAGGGGGCCCCACTGTATTCAAATACTTTTAAGAGCAAACCTCCCAGGCCGCTGGGATGTCCCTTTATCCTTTGAAATCTCTCACGATATTTTGAATGTTGTGCGTAGCCATTGCCAGCATGTTACGTGGGATATAGATGAGTGTTGTTTGTTTGTCAGTGAGGATGTTGAGAGAGGAGTTACAGCTGCTGCAGGAGCAGGGATCGTATGTTGGAGAAGTAGTGAAACCAATGGACAAGAAGAAAGTGCTTGTGAAGGTACGTCACATAAACTGGACAGTTATTCTCAATCACTGAAGTTTGTTTTTTGTGCATTAGGAAGCTTCTGTGTGTATTATGTGCTTCTGGTCATGTGGGTTGCATATTCTACTTTTCCACCACAGTTAGCTCTTCAGATTTTACAGATTTGCAGAATTTTCTCCCTTGTTCTTGACCAGTGAAGATAAGGGTTAGAATTTATCTTCAGTAAACCATGCTTGTACTTGTAGTAAGAGACGACTAACGGGATCGGGTGGTCAGACTCGCTGATCTGGTTGACACATGTTATCATATCCCAATTGCGTAGATCGATGCTCATGTTGTTGATCACTGGATTGTCTGGTCCAGATTCAATTATTTATAGATTGTCTTCTTATAGCTGGAAATATTGCTGAGTGCTGTATAAAACTAAACTCACCAACTCCCATGTTCTTGCCTGGAATCTTTGATTGTAGGTTCAAATCCGTGATTCTGTTCAAAGCTGCATCACACTAAACTTACCTACCTCAAACTCGAATTCTGTTATCTGCTTGTTACTTTTCATGTTATCCACGTAGCCTAATTGAGTACATACAAACTCAGTGTTCTCTGCACATGAAGTTACCTTAAAGCTCCTATGTATTGCATATTTAAAATATTTGCAGACTTTCCAAAATCGACTGTATTTTCCTTTTACAGGTTCATCCAGAAGGAAAATTTGTTGTTGATTTAGACAAGAACATTGACATCAACACTGTCACACCTAACTGTAGAGTTGCCCTCAGAAATGACAGTTATGTTCTCCACAAGATTTTGCCAAACAAGGTAAGCACGCTGAAATGACGCTGCACTTTGAAGGCCAGTGTGTAGTCTAGTGGTTAGCTATAGCTACTTACGGTTTGTCTCCTTCCAGCTTCCATTTGTTGTCCCCTGCCGCAACTCGGAACGGGGGACTATGTATTCAGCGGCGTCCGTCCCGATTCTTGTTAACGTGATATCTCATGAACTGTTGTACCCACTGTCTTCAAATTTGGTGACAGCCTACATTGGGAGATTATGCAGGCACCGGTTGATTTTGGGTGACCTTGACCTTATCTTCAAGGTCACCACGACACTTTTCACACTTTTAACTCTTGTTAACGCGATATCTCATGGACTGTTGTACCCAATGTCTTCAAATTTGGTGAGTTTACATTGGGGTATTACACAGACACCAGTTTATTTGGGTGACCGTGGCCTTATCTTCAAGGTCACCACGATACTTTGACCACTTTTTAAAGGCGATATCTCATAAAACATTGCACCCAATGTTTGCAAGTATGTTGACAGCCTACATTGGGTGATTATGCAGACACCAGTCATTTCAGGCATCTTGTATGTGACCCAAAAATAAAAAGTAGTAAATATAAATATTCCATTCTTTAGCGGCGGGGGACATTGCCATATCAGTGGCAAACACTTGTTGGTTTTGTATTGATTGTTGAAGTAGTATTTGGCAGTAATGTAATTATAACAACAATCATGATAATGATAACTGGATAACTTCTTTGTGGTGATGTGTGGTCCTGTGCATAGAGCTCGGGTCACAAATCAGTTCAAGTTAGGCAACATTGGGCAGAAAGAGTCCTTGGATGGGTGATTGTGTTTGGCAGCTTGACTCCTAAGAGTTTCCAGGACTTCAGTCCTGCCCCACAACAAAACACATGTGATACATGTGGTCTCACATTAAGTGAGTTTGTTCAAAATTGCCTCCGTCCACCCAGCAGAAAATGGGTACCCGATGGGATAAGGCATGTGACTTATTTATATGTATATAAACAATTCTTTGATCTTTGAGTGGCATTTCTTGGGAAGTACCATATTGACAAACTTGATGGACATCAACTTCTTTTATTTCATGAATGTTCCTGCTTGACAACGGTACAAGAATCTATATCAAAACATCACACTCACGAAATAAAACAAGTTGTCATCCATTAAGTTTGTCAATACTGATAACTGGAGTCAGTAATTATTTCTTATCCAGATAAACCATTATGCAATACCCTTCATCTCTTCGATCACATAACACAGAACCAAAAATATGCATCTTTACTTTATGACGCCCTTCACTTGTGTTGCACTCCCTGACCCCTTGCTTTACCATTAAGCTTGTAGAACACATGGTTTGAAGCTGTTCAGTTGATGTCCTTTAACTTGTTTAATCATGGGTTCAAAATCATGCACAATGCTGTATTTTGAAGTTTTGCAGTTGGCCTGCCAAATAGAGACTTGGGCTAGAGATATCTCCCCTCCTGTCATGAAACTAGTTGCAGCATCTGATTGCTTAAAACCAGTTAGAATAGCCTAGACAAAATGTCGATTTCATGTAGCTTTCAAAGGTACATGAAATCTGGAGAGTTTCATGCCAAAACAATGCAAGTACTACAGGTGTGACGATTCAGAAATTTCACGATACGATACGTATCGCGATATCTTGCATTCGATTCGATGCATATCACGATAGACTTTCTTTTGTTATTTTCTTTAAAAAATCATATTTAAAAGCAAGAAATATTGACATAATCGTCAATATCTATTGAAAATTAACATTTTAAGGTCAACGATACACATCACAATACGAAAAACATATCGATATATTTATCGTCAGATAAAGTATCACGGTTATCGATACTACAATATATCGTCACAGCTCTAGCAAGTACAATGTCGATATGAGAAAGACAGAAAGACACTTAGATCAGTGTGTTCCCCAACATCACTGCAAATAATGGTTTGCAAACATAGTTGCTTGTAAAGTCATATTCTCTGTGCTCTTTTCATTATTACTACCTCTAAAAAGTAATCACCATTCGTAACTACTCGCCTCTTTCCGTGACCTACAAGAAGACTCATACCCCTATCGTATGCCATTATTGCCAAGAATCGTGGCAAACTAATCAAATCGCTCGTAGTAAAACGCATTTCGAAGCATGACAATGGAGGCACCGTTGAACTTTGAAACTTTGCTAAACTATGCAAAGCATAATTTAAACATAAACTTTGAGCTAAAGGATCAGCAGATTTAAACACTGAAATATATTTACAAAGAGAATGACTGTAGTGCTGTTTTGTCCACGGGAAAAAGGAGCCATGTTTGGAGTTATCTTTCCTTTTACGCGCCCGTTTGCGCTTAGACAGGACCCAGTCATTAACATGGCCACGAGAGGGGTGCGAGACGACATCCGGCTTGCCGGAAAGACACGAGTAGTTACAAATGCAGTAATCACAAGAAGATCACATTTGCCTTTGAGAATAATAAATTTGATTCAGATGTCTTTAACATGTTCAGGTTTATGTGTGTTTTAATGTGATGCACCATTGTTTTAGGTTGATCCCTTAGTGAGTCTGATGATGGTGGAGAAGGTCCCCGACTCGACGTACGAGATGGTAGGAGGTCTGGACAAGCAGATAAAGGAGATCAAGGAAGTTATTGAACTCCCTGTCAAACATCCAGAACTGTTTGAAGCCCTGGGAATAGCTCAACCCAAGGTGAGGATTTGAATGAATTCAAATGCTGTTGTCTGCAGTGTCAATCAAACCAGCTTGTGCACCTTTACAAATACTATGTGCATATTGTGTCAGTAAAGGACAAGGTATCATTGGCCACACGTGTAGTCTCTTGAAGATTGATTGGATAGAGCATCTGCCTGGACAGCAGAAGGTTGGTTGTTTGATTCCCAGACTATCGCACCATATAATGTTACAATAGATGATACTTGTTGATACCCAGCCTGGCACTCAGAATAAGGGAGATAAATGAAGGACTGTGGTCGTATGCATATGTCGGGCGTAAATTCTAGCATGGGCGTAAGTAAGTAAAATGTGCGCCCGGGCGTAACCTTAAGCCAGTATGCATATCTTAGACGTAGCTAAAGATACGCCAGGCGTAGCACTCTTCATTTACGCCACCTACCGAAGCAGACGTAAGCCAGGCATAGCCCTGTAATGGCGGAAGTAATATACCGATTTCACACACAACAGTTCTACAGAAACCGTATATTTAGAGAAAGGTCAAACCCTTTAGAAATATACGACGACCTGTACAGAAGATTTAGATTCAGGAGAATTGACATTTTCAAGATAGTGGATACAATCAGAAGTGATAATGATTATGGCTCGTACAGCAGTTCCACCCTTACCCTGGAAATGCTGGTACTTGCAACCTTACGGTTTAATGCTATGGGTTCATTTGTTTTGGTGGTTGAAACATGTTCGAAAATCTAAAAATAGCACACTACGCCTCGACGTAAATCTGTTCAGTCGGGCGTAGTAACGCCTAGGCTTAACCGACGTTGTGCATGACGTGTAAGAGCAGAGTGCTGCTAAGTCCGACGTAGTGTGTTACGCCTGACGTTAGCTACGCCCAACATGTGCATACGGCCACTGGTCGGTATGGAGGTTGTTTAAAGCGTCTAAGTGAGGTGAGGTGAAATTGTGTTTAACATCGTGCTTGAGAATATTTCGCTCATATGACGACGTGCATGCATGTGCATGTGTATGTGTATGTGCGGCTGCTTGTACTAGCCCAGACTTAAGCTGGTTTTATAGTCCTAGCCCCCTGAGATACCATGCCGCAGTGAAGCATGAATACCCCACTCAGACACATTATACTGACTCCGAGCCAACCCATCCTTTTGTACCCATTAATGCCGAGCGCCAGGCAGGGACCAACAATTACCGGTACCATTTTTTAACGTCTTTTGGTATGACGCGGTCAGGAATCGAACCCGCGACCTTCCGCTCTCCGGGCGGACGCTCTAACCACTACACCACGGAGGCGGTCAAAGTGTCTAAGTAGGATGTCATTGTAGACCTGCATCCAGCTGGGCCAGCAATATATTTACTATATGGACTTTAGTCCAGACTGAGTGAAGTATCCATGTTAAACTGCATTTCAATCTTGAGTCCAGACAAGTGCATTATGGTGTGTGAGTGAAATAAACTTCATGAAGACAATATTGAACACCATTGTACTGCACCTAGTATTAGCACACACACGCACACACACACATCACTATATGAATGAAATAATCTTCAACATGTTACTACGCACATTGATTATGTTGGTCTTGCTCAACAGTGCTCAGTGTATTGCATGTGAATGTCTTGTTGACAGGGAGTACTGTTGTACGGACCTCCTGGAACTGGCAAGACTCTTCTGGCACGAGCTGTGGCCCATCACACTGAGTGTACTTTCATCAGAGTGTCTGGTTCAGAACTTGTACAGAAGTTTATTGGCGAGGGCTCAAGGATGGTCAGGGAGCTCTTTGTCATGGCAAGGTATTGTTTGAAACTCCATCTTATTTGAGTATAGCTGAAGCTAATCATACTTGACCTGCTATTAAGTGCATAGCGCTGTTTTGAAGACAAGTGGAACTAAGCAGTGTTGGTATTTCAAGAAGTCTTTGATTCCTAGAAGATTGCAGAAATTGTATTTTATTGTAACATGTGGTACAGCATAGTCTCGTCAAAGGATCCTTTGCATAGAGAGAGCAGGTCATTGGTTTGGTACCCAGCTGCTTCTTACCCCACACATGTTAAAGCACTGGATCAGCATGCTAATCATGCTGGCATTTGGGACTGCCACTTAAAAGACTTTTGTGCAAGTCATGGCACCAAACAAATTCTGACCCCAGTGTTGTTGAAGAGGGAATCATTATCAATTCTTTTTGTCCCTGGAAGTTGTTTGATAATTTTTTTATCCAGAATGTAAGACATTGACTATTGTCCTATGTGTTGCAGAGAACATGCACCCTCTATTATCTTCATGGATGAGATCGATTCAATTGGATCATCACGTTTAGAAGGAGGTTCAGGAGGTAAGTATCAATAATTAAATCAGATAATTGATTAAGTACCGTATATATTACCGTCAATAAGCCTAAGCGGGGAAAAAGCAGTCTGTGGAAGGGGGTCGGCTTATCTACAGGTTACACTTTCGTCAAACATTTTGCAGGGGGTAAGACAACAGCATCGTATCGCTTTGCGTGAACAAACAAGAGAAGAAAGACAACTTTGACAAAATCGTCAAATTTGCAATTAAACATCATTAGACAAGATTATTTATTCATGCAACAGTGAAGAAACGTGCTATGAATAATCATGATAATAAGGCACAAATAAACTTGTGATGATTTTACAGATACAAGCTGTTACCATTTTGTAAAGTTGTTTTTATTCTGTGTGTGAAAACACAAAGAACTGTTACTGTGATTCTGACTGCTGTGGTTGTCCGTACAGTTTGAGAGGAACATTGATTATGTTGGTCTTGCAACCATACTGACCCATTAGAAGAACCTCATGCTTCCATGGGCTATTACTATGCCAGATTAATTGACACTCACACAGATTAGACTTCTAACATTCTTGATACTGTTGATTCTTGTTTTCCCATAGTAAGAGGCAAATATGCTCAAGGAATTAGTCCTTGGGGAATGTTAATGAAGGAAAGAGGATGAACGTGTGTCTTCATGTCCCTTATATTATTTTGTTGGTTGTTTAACCCCGCCACTCAGCAATATTCCAATATATGACAGCGGTCTGTAACTAATCTAGTGTGGACCAGATAATCAGGTGATCAGCAGCATGACCATCAATCTATGCAATTGGGATACGCTGACATGTGTCACCCAAGTCAGCAAGCCAGTGCCATCTTTCACAAAGCTATCGTAGCGCTACAACTGTCGTACCTCATGTACCGTAACAGACTTCCGACAGTCGTAGCGCTACGATAGCTTTCTGAAACGGGGCCCTGACCACCTGATCCTGTTAGTCGCCACTTATGACCAATTCTAACCTGCATCTTCTAGGGTTCCTTGTATTTATTAAGAAACGGTCATTGCTTCAGAATTTATTTCCATTGTCCCATGGGGTAACCTAGTCCCTCCTGACACTCAGTTGCAAAAATCAGCACCCAGTTGACTCACAGGAGCTGATGAACCTTAGCAGGCAGTGTGAGATGGGTAGGAACCATCTAAAAGTATTTATCATTGATATTGTCATCATTACCTAATCCTTTTTCAGGTGATAGTGAGGTACAGAGGACTATGCTGGAGCTACTTAATCAGTTGGATGGTTTCGAACCGAAACAGAATATCAAAGTAAGGAGCCGAAACACTAGTTGTCTCCCTTGGAGCAATATTTGTTTCATAATATGTCATGTTTCATTTCATGTACTTAAATCATGCAGGTATCTAAGCCAGAAGGGACCTTTATCATACTTTTTTGTTTTCAAGATAGCCACTTTTGGAGCAATATTGTAAGCACATAACCTTCATCAAGTTTATCTGGCCAAACTGTTCTAATGTGTTTAGGAAGAATAAGATCCTTCTCAGCATGTTTAATAATGACAGCTGACAACATAAAAAGTAGGTGTGATGATTGTGATCTTAGATCTACTCAACATGGTCAGTATCCCAGGTCAGTGGAGCGCAGTAGTGCAGTGGTAAGGCGTCTGCCTATCACACTGAAGGCCGGGGTTCGATCCCCGGTGGAGGCACCTAGGTTTGGGTCCCGAGGTAGGCACATTTGCATAGTATCCTTGGACAAGATTCTTAGATCCACATTGTCTTAGTTCACCCAGCTGTAAAATGGGTACCCGTGAGGATGTGCTGGCAATGTGAGTGTTTAGTTTGTTGCACCAAACAGGCAGCATGGCTGTATACTCCCCAGGGAAGGAAGTATCGAAAAGTACGATAGTGTCTTATGACCGGGGATAGTAATGTATGTAGCGCCGTGATCAGGCAATGTGCCTGGATATGAGCGCCATATAAGCGGACTATTACTATTACTACTATTACTATCCCTTCCCTTCTAATTTTAGTGGGGCGGTTTTGTAGCCTAGTGGTTAAAGCGTTCTCTCAACACACTGAAGACCAGGTTTCGATTCCTCCATGGGTACAATGTGTGAAGCCCATTTCTGGTGTCCTCCTGCCATGATATTGCTGGGACATTGCTACTAACGGCGTAAAACATACTCACTCACTCACTCTAAATTATGTTCACTATGTCAGATCTTTGTCAGTTTGTCAGGTTGATTTGCACCGCCTCCATGGTGTAATGGTTAGAGCATCCGCCCGGAGAGCGGAAGGTCGCAGGTTCTATCCCAAACCAAGTCATACCAAAAGACGTTAAAATATGGTACTTGTTGGTCCCTGCCTGGCGCTCGGCATTAATCGGTACAACAAGGACTGGTCGGCTCGAAGTCAGTATAATGTGTCTGAATGGGGTATTCATGCTTCACTGCGGCATGGTATCTCAGTGGGCTAGCACTATGAAACCAGCTTAAGAGTGGGCTAGTACAAGCAGCTGCACATACACATACACATACACACGCATGCACGTCGTCATATGGGCGAAATATTCTCAAGCACGACGTAAAAACCCAATTTCACCTCACCTCACCTCAGGTTGATTTGAAGACTTGGGTTGTCATATTAAGTAATTCAGTTTCAGATGCCTCCAGCTCTTCTTTTAAGTCATTCATCTCTAATTACAGGTTATTATGGCCACCAACAGAATCGACATCCTTGACTCAGCTTTACTACGTCCAGGCCGTATAGACAGAAAGATAGAATTTCCCCACCCAATGAGGAGGTGGGTACAGGCTGCTGTCTTTACTTCACTCCACTGCAATAAGAAAGAGGAGCAAAGCTCAGATCTAGCTCACCTGGAAATTTACTTGGAGACTTTATAACGTGTATACTTCCTGTGCACTTCTTGCAATGTTCAGTTGACAATGAAGGTTCAAGTCCTGGTCACTTAGAATGAACGCAGCATTAAATATGCTGTTGAGTTGATATCTAGGGTGTATGTGATTGTATTTTGTTTGGACATTCTTATATTATCACTGATGTTGTGGCACTTAGGAAAATCAGTTTTGTTAATGTATGGATTACAAGTCCCAAGGTATATTTTGGATTACATTTTCCCAGTAATATTCAGACTCTCGTACTTTTTGGGGTTAAGTCTGGTCCAGGATTGAAAAAGAAACTGTCAGAGTGAGGCACCTAATCACCAGGCTAGCTATTCTCAAAATGTTCGTAGCCCTACAGACTTCTTAAGCCTATTCTTTAACTAATTGGCTACGATCAAAGTTAAGAATTCTTAGGGTTACGAACGTTTCGAGAATAAATAAGAGCCCAGCACACAAAGTCAGTGACCTTACCCACTCAGCCCCTGTAGCTTCGATGAAAAATAAAAGTTGGCTTTTCAGATCATATACTTTGTGTCCCCTTTCTGACAAGTGTAAATTGCCATGACGTAATGCTAGTAACACCAATACCTTTTAGAAAGAGGTCAAATGTAACATGTTTTATTTCAAGAAGGCATTGTGAGTTCTTTACAAATCTATGATTCAAACCTGGTTTTCTCTCATTAAGACTTGTGCCTTTGTGTGTGGGACACTTTCTTCTAATCCTGATCATATCAATAAGATGCACTGTGTTTTTTATGTAGCTTGTTTAAACATGTTTAAACTCTCTTCATAGGCTCGACTAGACATCCTGAAAATCCACTCAAGAAAAATGAACCTGACCCGTGGCATCAATTTACGCAAAATTGCCGAAATGATGCCAGGTGCATCAGGAGCAGAAGTTAAGGTAAATATGGGACTGCAAATGTCTGGATATTGGATTGGGAGTGGGATTTACTTGCATCCACGCCAACCCAAGCTTGTCACAATAGTTATGAGTGATGGCTATACTCTGACTTGACCGAAAGACTTTTAATGTGGCTGGATAGCATAGTCCCTTTGCTCAATGCACGTTACTCACGTTTATCCGTTTTCCATGGGCAACAGATTATTTTACTGACTTGATACAGCAAAACAACTTCCTCAGCTGACTCCAGCGGTAGTAGGGTAGCCCAGTGGTTAAAGCTTTCTTTCCAGGAACTTATAATGTGCCCTTTTACTTTCATAATCCATGTATCAAATTCACAAAGGATTATTCAGGAATTAATCAGCATCCTGATATCCTGATACTAGGGTTTCAGGCCAGAGTAGACTAGGCTGTGATAGCAAATCACTGTATTCCTGAGGTAGATGGTTGCCCATGATATCAGTCACTGGTTTTCCTGGCCTTATTCTCTTTTATCTACAGATATAACATAGCCTCAGTATTACTGATTTGGTATTAAGCTTCAATCGCCAAAAGTATCTGTATCTCTGTTGCATAGATTTATGAAAACTATTCATGTCTCCGATACAAATTAACAAATAATAACATTGTTAGAAATATTCGTCTGATTCCCAATTTTCATAATGGGTGGCAGGTCACAATTATCTTAAATGCGGCATTATTTTCCATTTCACCTCACCTCATTGCGGCCCGCCCCAACCCTCGGCACCTCTCCTCCCTCCACTCCACTTGACATGTCAAACTTATGGTTGTGTCAAAGTAGAATCTATGTCCATCCGCATTTCTTTATAATGAGTATTTTGTGGTCAAAGAGTATATTGTCAAAACAGTACTTGCAGTATTTACACTCATCCATCAACTTCGACTAAACAGTGTTTGACTGTAAAGCATAAAACCCAACTCCCTTAATGAAGACAGGGAACAAGTTATGCCTGGCTGAATTCTGTATACGTAATAATATATGTGTTTCTGTGCAGGGTGTGTGTACAGAGGCAGGAATGTATGCTCTGAGAGAGAGGAGAGTGCACGTCACACAGGAAGATTTTGAACTGGCTGTAGCAAAGGTAAGTTTTTCATAAGTTGTACATACTTTTGTTTGTCGAGGGTGTAGAATTGTATGTATCCAGTAATTCTTTCAACAATACACCCCTTAAAGAATGATGCACTGTGTCCTCACGGGTACATCTATTCTGGTCCATTATTACTATACCAGAATAGAATTCGAGTGTCAAAATATGACATCTGACAAGTGTGCAAAATAGCCATTGGCCTGCTAGCCCGTGGCTAATAAAAATCTAGTCGGGCCAGTAAATCTCCACAGTCACTGGCCCGACTGGCAAGTGAATTTTCATGGGGTCATTTTGTAAATATATCACTTTCTCCAACTCGTTAAGTTTAGTTTCTGCATACAAATGTCGGGTTGTGAATTATTTTGTGGGCTAGTAACTTTCAGGCATAGCTAGCCCGACTGGCTGGCAAAATTTTGCCACTATTTGCCACGCTACACCTGACTGATTGCTTTCAACGACTGACTGTTTGATCCAGGACACTCTGATATATAAGTTATTTTAGAAACTGTTTAACATGTTAAAAGGCATCTGTGTAGGTGAAGTGTCACCGAATGTGGGTCAGTTAAAGCATTGGTTTGATCATGCAGAGCTACAGATAACTTTTTGGGCCATTGACTTATGTACTCGCTTGTGTTCATCTCAATTGGGTATCCTCATTTTCTCTTGAGTAACCAAATAAATTGTCCTCACCTCACTCAAACTCAATTGGATATTTGCCATTTTCCATTAATTGTAAAAATATAATAAAGTTTAAATGTTACTGTTTGTTATTCATATTTGATCTGTAATATGAGAAACAATAAGAAAGTCTGCAAGTTGTCAAGTTCATGTCCTGAAATAGAACCTCTTCAGTTATTTTATCTATCCATCGATACGCAAGCTAAGATTTGACATGTTTATGTGTACGCATGTAAGATCACATTTATTGAGTATTTACAAAAATTCAAGCATACTTGTATGCAATAGACTTAATAGGAATTGAATTTCACATAAATATTTGTGTAATTTACACAGATACGCAGCTTGTCTGTACCTCTGATCATGCATGTCATATACTTAATCATGTAAAGAAAGAACAGGAAGACATATGTTTCATTGTCGGAAGTTTGGAATGGCTGATATATATCATAGAGATTGATAATCATTGACTAAATTTCATTCAATTATTGATAAATATGGGAAAGTAACTTTTAGCAAAAATGCCAAATAAGAAATTCACATATTTCACATCACTGGTGGCGTAATTATGCATGGGTTATTAACAAAACAGTATCCTGAACATATTTTAGAAGCAACCCTTGAATAGAGATCTAACTTTGCGTATTGGAAACAAATGAAAATTTCACAACAAAAGATTGTGTACTGCCGGTATATCATTTATGACACCAGGCTCGCTGACTTGGTTAACACATGTCATCGTATCTTAATTGCTTAGATCGATGCTTATGATGTTGATCACTGGATTGTCTGGTCCAGACTTGATTAATTAGAAATTAGATACTGCCGCCATAAAGCTGCTGTGTGGCATAACTTTAAACTCACTTATTTATGACACAAGTTTCATATTAATAATCATTGAATATGTTACCAGTGACAACAATTCCAAGTATCGATATTTTTAGCCAGTCCTGTCCAGAGTTACTCACAATATTATGATGTGCATGTGGCTGGATCTAATGTAGTTGATGTTAGAGCCTTATACTTTATTTCTTTATTGCAGATCATGTTGAAGGATGCAGAGAAGAACATTTCAATCAAGAAACAGTGGAAGTAATTCTCTACATAGTGAAGAGACTGGAATGTTTCATGCTGGAAAACAAATTTGAGAATGGTTGTTTCCAAGCATTGCTTATTTAAACAAAATACCATGTGTAGTATGGGTGTCAGGTAGTCAGTCAGTCATGTTCATTGACATCGTTTCATGTAACATCCAACCTTAGGCTTGATTCTGCTGGCTACCTGGTTATATCCTGTTGATGGTGAGTTTCTTTGTCATCAGATTGTTGTTTCCATCTCAGAAATAAAACATGTATGTACATACTTTTGTTACTTACCATATTTAGTGCGCTTAGTAAAATGTGCACCCATCTAGAGGAGTCATTATTTTGGAAAATACACTTTAAAAAGATCATCATATCCCTCCGGCGAACTCCAGTGTGAATGATCCAGTATTAACAAACTTGGTCAATAAAACTGGAGATAAAACATTGCAAGACATATTGATTTACCATTGGAATGATATTGATCTATATACACAGCTTAAGATTACTGGGTGTATATATTTGTACACTAAGCAGGAAATAGCAATCAGTTGTGCATTGATTTCCTCCCAATTTACCTCTGAAACAGTTAGATTATACCAAAAATAATTACTTCGCTGGCAAAGGGGTGGTTATCAAAAAGTGTCACGACGAGGACGGCGGTAACATTACTTCCTGTGGATAACGTTGACCATTGAATGTACCAGATAGTGTAATGGGCTCCATCTTCCAGTCATACGAACCCCGACCCTACACCTTCACTGAGCACCACCAAAGGATCCAGCAGCATGTCTCCATAGGCACAAAGGCCACCAGGTGTAGACGATCAATGAACCCTACACCATGTCCTCAAGTGGGTGTTTTCTGAAAGCCTGTACCGCCCAGACGTACCTGCTTGTGCCCACCTTTAAGGAAGGAACCGCCCATCAGATGACGGTACCTCTGATGTGAGAGTAGGACACCACTCTCCCATGGTGGTACAGTTCTTGGCATTGGTAATGTGATTGCGTTTTGCCAGAGGAATTATGACATAGTCATCACGGTTCTTCCTTGGTCTTTGCGGTGATTCCTTGCAAGTCGATAATAACCATGTGGTAATGTTTAGCACCATGTTGCAACAAGTCATCCCAGCGTCATGCATGTGATTAACTTGCCAAAGTGTATTTCCTAAAGTTTCCGTCTTGCCATGTCAAGAAAAGTAAAGTTTTAGTACTGTCGTTAACATGCGACCCATAGCCACTTACATAATGTGTGAAGCATGTGGTCTACATGTTGCAAAGTCTTTATACTTCAAGGAATAAAACAATTCAATATCATACTTTGATGAAGCTGAAGCTGATACAAAAATATCAGCGTCTCCATCGATCCAAAATCCAAGCCCCTCGTGAAGGCCTTACAATATTATGGTGTTGGGGGATAATGGGTCTTAATGGAGGGGGGTGTGGGATGCCTGCCGAACTGCACTTCAAATTGTTAATGGCAGAGTAATACGTCAATATTATTGTGAAAATACCATAGCACCGCATGTTGGGCATGCTTTATCTTTCAAGATGATACACATAATATCCTGCAAGGATTCTGACCAGAGGGCTTGCTTCGACCACACCCGCGTTTTGTGCGGATATATCGTCAGCCATTTGTGTCAAGATCGTTTAGTTGAGAGTCAAAATCGGGTTTCAATCCACTTGCAGAAATAACAATAAAGAATTGGTAGGTGTCACAAGTGGTGCTCGATAGGCCAATCATCCATGATTATGTTTACATTAAGTTTTAATCGATTGTATGCGATGGTAGTGTAGCGATCGGCAAAGCAGTCGGGTAGGGTGCACCGAAGTCTCCGGCCTTGTAATAATGAATTGTACTGTGAAGCATTTCGAGTCGGGGGTCATCTAAAAAAAATTACTTTTTTAATCATTAATCCTCGCAAAGACACAAGGGCCTGTGGTTGTAGGTAGATTACAGTAATAGTGAGGCTGGATGCATAACATCTCATGACATCTACTATTAGAAGTTAACTTCTTTGAGTGGCATTTTAAAAGTTGGGAAGTACAATATAGAACAAACTATAGTACAGATTCTTGTACCGTTGTCAAGCATTATGCTTGACAACGGTACAAGAATCTGTATCGAAACGTCGCACTCACGAATAAAAAGAAGTTGTTATCCATAAAGTTTGTTCTATATTGTACTATTAGAAGCAATGAGATCCGACCGCCTACACCCCAGCAAAGATGATACTGCCATCTGCCAATATTGTCTGGAACAAAAGATTTGTGTTGCTTATTCCCACTATCCCCTGTCTTTGGGAGTATCTACTTGTGTGCCACTCTCGATGATCATGCTGTTGATCACTGGCGTGTACGCTATAAGAGTGAATGAGTTTAGTTTTACGCCGCTTTTAGCAATATTCCAGCAGTATCACATCGGGGAACACCAGAAATGGGCTTCACACATTGTACCCGGGTCTTCGGGGTAAAAGGCGAACGCTTTAACCACTAGGCTACCCCACCGCCCTTGTACGCTTAGAGGTTGTTTGCGATTGGGTGTAAAGTTAGAAGGTCTATTTCGTGGAACCGTACACAAATTAAGAGCTGCCTACTTCATGGTTTACGACGTCGTAGCGATAAGATGCTTTCGTGAAACGGCACCCTGGTCCAGATTCAAATACTGACAGACCGCCGACATGGAGCTGGACTTTTACTGTGATGAATGACAAACGCCGGTTCATCAAAAATGTATGCGACCCTAGACACAGTTACGACATGTGGGGAAACTAACCCGGATCTTCTACGTGAAAAGCGAACGCTACAATCAAAAGCAAAACCACCACCACGGCGCGAGTGCAAGTTAAATGGTATGTTCTCATTTCGCCTACATCCCATTTCGCCTACGGTCTTAAAACAACATGTCATGGTCTGTTGACTGTTGATTACGCAAAGGTGAATAGATACTAAACCAGTTAAATAGCTTAGACATTCAAAAATAAATGGGAGGTTTTGTCTCTGGTCTAAAACATGTTTTGTGTGAATACATTTAACAAGACGAATATAGCAAAAGGCTAATACATGCATAAGAAAAATCATATTGTGGCCAGTTACACCATACTGTTACAAATGTTGCCAGTGAGGCTAATGATTTGCGTTGTTAAAAATACCCTTTTGTCCCATTGTTATTGTTAATTATTTTCAACGATTAGATGTCAGACAAAATGGGAAGATAACAACCTTATCTGCCAGCTTGTTTTCAGATTGTGCCACTGATTATATATCCGTTTACATTTTCAGTAAAAATGCATACCGGCTGTTGTTCATGGTAGCTAACGATTTGCCGAGTTAATCTAAAACAACCAAAAGTGCATCACTGAACTGTCAGCTGAATTTAAGTCGGTAAGCTCCTTGTCAGTGAACTATCAGCTGAATTAAAGTCGATAAGCTCTTTGTCATGTTAAAATTCTGAATGATTTACAAGAAACTAAACGTGGCAAAAATGCGTTGATACTTTTGTGAAAAAAGAACACACTATTAACTGCGAAAAACAAAAGCCCAAAAGTGAAAAAAAATGGAAATATCTTACGGAGTTTGGAATGGAAATATCTTACGGAGTTTGGCAGATATTCATACAAAGTAAATACCAAATATAAATTTGTCATATCTGCAAGGCATCGGGAGTGATTTGTGCCGGTAGAATAAAATACGTCAAGAAACATCGAAAAGGTGGCTACGTAGGGACGTATAGGTCAAACACACCCTTATTAAATTAGGAAGGTTTTACACCACTTTTAGCACTATTCCAGCAATATGACTTTAACACAACAAGCAATTGGCTTCACAAACTGTACCCATGCATGTGGGGAATCGAACCCGGATCTTCTGCATGACGAGCGAACGCTTTGACCCCAACATGAAATGAACGTGCAATATGAATTGTTGGGCTATGGAAATGATGGGATTTCATTTGTCTGTCATCCTGTTGTTTGTTTGTTTTGGATTTGTTTTTTCTGTTTGTTTTGTTTTGTTTCGTTTGTTTCTTTGGGGGAGGGCGTGTTTTTGTTTTTGTTTTGTTTTAGATTTGTTGGGGTTTTTTTTCGTTTTGTTTTTAATTGAGGGGGTGTTTTGGTTTTGGATTTAATAATAATAATAGTTCCATTTGTATAGCGCTTTTCCACACATCAATGCACACGCAAAGCGCTTAGCAAAGAGAGTCCAGCGTCAGAGATAGTTGTTGAACAGATAGGTCTTCAGGGGGGCTTTGAGTGATGGAAGAGAGTCAGAGATAGTTGTTGAACAGATAGGTCTTCAGGGGGGCTTTGAGTGATGGAAGAGAGTCAGAGATAGTTGTTGAACAGATAGGTCTTCAGGGGGCTTTGAGTGATGGAAGAGAGTCAGAGATAGTTGTTGAACAGATAGGTCTTCAGGGGGGCTTTGAGTGATGGAAGAGAGTCAGAGATAGTTGTTGAACAGATAGGTCTTCAGGGGGGCTTTGAGTGATGGAAGAGAGTCAGAGATAGTTGTTGAACAGATAGGTCTTCAGGGGGCTTTGAGTGATGGAAGAGAGTCAGAGATAGTTGTTGAACAGATAGGTCTTCAGGAGGGGCTTTGAGTGATGGAAGAGAGTCAGAAATAGTTGTTGAACAGATAGGTCTTCAGGGGGGCTTTGAGTGATGGAAGAGAGTCAGAGATAGTTGTTGAACAGATAGGTCTTCAGGGGGGCTTTGAGTGATGGAAGAGAGTCAGAGATAGTTGTTGAACAGATAGGTCTTCAGGGGGGCTTTGAGTGATGGAAGAGGAAGACTTTAGATGATCTCTTCGGTGGGTGAACATTTATTAGGTTATTTACATTACATGTTTTTGTCCTGCTGAGCTCATTTTGTATTACATGGGTCTGGTTTTGTATGTGTTTTATTTTGTTTTGTTGTTGTTGGGTTTTTTGTTCTTTTTGGGGAGATGGGGTGGTGGGGTGGGGTGAACTGTAGTCAAACCAATTCCCTACTTCGTTAAGTAATTACTGGTAACCGTACTGTGCCTGTCAAAAAGGCTTGAATTTCACGTTCATTGATAGCTCGATGGTTCGGTCACAACGCGACAGCTCTAAAGTTAAATCGGAGACATGCCTTCTGAACATCGACGATACCTTTGGAAGTGATCGATGCTCACTATTTGTTCTCTTTGTAACATGATGTGTAGAATACTAGGCTGAATCAATATGAAAAACAATAGACTGATCAATCAAACCTGACGCTGTATTGACTGGACTGTGCAAACTGAGTGAGTGGGGTTTT